CATATGAGTGTGGCAGGTGTAATCCCTGGCTTTCCTTCCTTGAAGTGGGTTACCTTTAGATTATGCAGGTAAACTCATAAATGTGTCTATGGTAAGCGCAACCTGAAGTTCCAGCTCCAACATCTAGTGTAGAGGTATCAGGCTATACCGTAAACTGTGAGTTGACAATGGAGGGAAGACCTTAAAATCCTAACATATGTAACAAGAGCCTTTTTTTAAATTCACTGTGGCACTGATTTCAGCTCAGGACTCAATAGACAACCTGTCTGTGACTTTCATGTCTGCTACTGTGGTCTGGTTGTCTTTTAATTTATAAATATTTGACTTGGATAAAAAATTTATTTTGATTTGTGATACCATTAAAAGGGGGGGAGGCGCGATACTGGTAACCCGCTTTAACCTCTGTTACAGGAGCTTAAGAAGAAAGGTCACAACCATTAAACTGCCTACCCCACGACAAACAACAGAACGCTCCTACTACAGTGAGACATCTAGCTACGTTAGTAGAGACAGAGGAGATGTGGCTGCATCCTTACAAGACCCAAGCTATGCTGGATCGTACTGGGGTGAGAACTGAGATACTGTTTATATATCTTGCTTGAGTTTGAATTACTGTGTGCACTTGCATTGCTGTATATTGGTCATTTTACAAAATAAGCAGATAAGCCACGTGAAACTATATTTTATAATTTTCTGGTTAACCAGCATGTGTGAAGGCTGGGTCACTAAACATAACCTCTGTGTACTAGATTAGCCGCTTGTATGGAATTACTTAATTTTGAGTAATAAGAGACAACTGTCTAGGCAAGGAATCAACTGATATTAAGTTATAGGGACACTATAGTCATCAGAACTACAGTTTCTTGTAGTTGTTCTGGTGAGTATAGTCAGTTCCTGCAAGCTTTTGTAAACACTGCCTTTTTAGAGAAAACGCTGTCTTTACATTGCAGCCTAGGGATACCTTTGGTGGCCACTACTCAGATTGCTACTAGAGGTGCCTCCTGGGGCAGTATCCAGACGTTCAGTGTCTCCACGCTCTGCATGGAGACTCTGAACTTTCCCCCCTAGAGATGCATTTTTTTTTTCAGTGCATCTCTTTGAGGAGATGCTGATTGGTCATGGTGGCGTTTGACTCCGCTGCCACCCTGCCTCCTTGGCTGAGAGCATTCGAATTGACAATCTCATCCAATTCAATGCATTCCTATGGGAAGGCATTGTGATTGGCTGACATTATCAGAACTGATGATCTCAGCCAAAGTGGCAGATCAGGGCAAAGCCAGCAATGGTGGACTGCAATACAATTATTCTTTTAATGCAAAAACTATGAAGATTTGAGCATGCAAAAAATAAAGCATATTAATGAAATCAAAACCTATCAAATGCATTAAAGTTGTATTAGTGCCCAGAGTGTCACTTTAACCTTTTAGATGCAGAAAAACATGCTGCTTTTCTGATTGATCTACGGCAGGCTAGTGAAACTTCTAGAACAATCCATTGGCATTTAGATATAGAAACCACTCAGCCTGCTTTTTCAACAGACTGTGGGAATCTCTGGGATTTTCTCCAAGGGATTATGTGCTCTGAATGAAATACTTCTGAAATGGCGTTTTTAGGCTCCTGGTAACTGTTGTAATTACCTGCAATTTCACATCCCCCTAGATAAAATGTGCACTTCAGCCTTGAGCATATAATAATTTATGATTATCTCAGAAAAGTTCTTGTGAAAAACTGTGTGTCTGTACATGGTAATGCAAGACTGATCTGTGACTTGGATATCCATTCTTGTGATCAAGGAAAATTATGTAGGACGGTAGATTTGTGCAAGAATGTGTATCTATGAAAAAATAAACTGGGTAGCTCTGATATAATTTCCTTTTTTTTTTTTTTTTCTTTTCAAGCCAGCCGCTACGAGCTATGAACTCAAGATCATAGTCTCTGTGTATAGAGTAGGAGATGTGGAGTGGATTTTTTTTTTTCTTTTTTTCCCAGACAGGGAAATATACTGTGCGTATAACATTCCTACAGAGTGACTTTGCTCAGTCAAAGCGGCAGGTCTCAGAACAGAAACTAGTGGAATTTGGATTCTATTTGGATTTGAAATGTCTATCTTGTGACATTTTAGAGACCATCCATTATTTAGTAGTGTACTGTATTATAATTCCATCTTAAACAATATATTTTTACAATGTTTAATTAGGCAAATATATGGACAAAATAATATATTGGTTACTGGTGACCCTGCTATTAAAAAACCTCTTCTATTTTACTTATATTGTATGGTAAAATCTTGACTTTGTAGTTTTTTTGTATCACAAACCTTTTGGAGGTCTTTGTATATTTTGCAAAGTGCCCTGAAGGTGACATCTCTAGTCCAGTGGCAACAGGGTGCAATGGAAAGTAAGTTTACTTGGCTGAAGCTGTGCCTTTCAAGCGTCGCTATCTGCTTCCTTGAGATCTTCTTCAGCACTTGGCTAATGCTTTAATTGCATAATGCATTAGAGAGAGTAAAACACTATGGAGGATCCCAAAAGAAGGCTATAGCTTTCATAGATGCTTCACAATGAGTGAGACCTTGTCTGAATCCCACAGCCATCACTTGTGATGGCAGCTGGGATTGGACAAAAGTTGATGGTGGCCTTTGGTAAACTTTCTTGTATATTGATAAGAGGTGTTGTGGGTGCCAGATGTAACGAGGGTCAAAAGGTTGCCCTCGGTGTTAAAGAAGATCTCATTATCCTCCATGTTGTCCTATGCAAGAGCCTTGCTAGACATCGGCGCATCCCCCATGATTCCTTTTCATACTGTGCATTACCCTGAGGTCCATCTTTTTCCTGACCATCCTTGTAAGGGTCGTTATTATTGGAAAGCAGTAGAGGTTGGACCTCCTAAACCTCTATCCGTTTAGGTCTCTTGAGTGGTGCCTTGCCTTTAGGGTGGTGCTGAGCTGCAGCAGAGCCCTTCCAGAGGCATGTTGCAGTGGTTGTGCGCTCACATACAGCCAACCCAGTCGAGTGGTTCCTCAACTTCAGTATGCGCCACTGTTGTTCCACTAGGGAGCGGGGGTGGGGAGTGCTGGTCCAATAGGAAATGTTTGGACCTTTGCCAGCACTTTTTTGCAAGATGCCGCCACCGTAGCATTAATGATACTTTGAAAATCCTGATGGTGGTGAATCACACATGGCTTGGAAGCAATAGAATTTCTAACCTGTTGAGTATAATAAAGAGTCAGGCAGGGGTGGAACTTGGGTCTGATGGATATGTGTGTGTGCAACCTTATCATTGCTGATCTATAATAAAAATCAATAAGTGGCATGCTATTGGGGTTATCCCCTTTTCCAGCAACACACTGCTTCACCTAAATATATTGCACTATATTTAGGTGAAGCAGTGTGTTGCCGGAAAAGGGGATCACCCCAATAGCATGCCACTTATTGATTTTTATTATAGATCAGCAATGAGAAGTTGATGGGGGGATCACCCCTGCATACAGTGCATATTAACAAGTGAACAGCCAGGCATGAATAAATGCTAACCACATATAATATGTATAATGTACCATAAGGGGGCTCACCCCTATGCAACAGAGTCTTTGCTAAACCGAATGTAATGCACCAGGAATAGGGCAAAGTATTAATGAGTGTGTCGCAAAAGTTCATATAGACCGCAAGTGCTGTACCGAGGAAATGGCTGCTGAGAATCTTGTGCTTTTGCGAGATTCAGTATGGTCACGGTGTACGCTGACAACAGAGTGGAAAGTAAAGAATATAAGTGAAAAGGCTCCCCTGAGCCCCAGAGACCACAGGACAGCCCCAGAATGAGAGAGAGATAGAGAGTGTAGTGCTCAGAGGGGGAGAGTGTCACTAATATGTGACAGGTGAGGTGAACAAGCTACAGATAGTCAATAATGACCCTGTGCCGGATAGGAGAAACCAGTGTTAGAGAGCCACAACTACTACGAACAATAATACAATTCATATGAAGACAACTGTAAAATCAAGAAAATGTATAATACTCTGATATGTGCACTTGGCAAGGAGCTTGTTCCAGTCAGAGCTTGTATAGCCTCCTCATACTTGTTTTTGATAATAATTTGTGTTAGAAGATGTGCTGCTATTGGAGTACAGTAAAGAGAATTGCAAAATATGAAGCCTCCTGTCATGTAATTAAATTTATATTTGTATATCGCTTGTGCTTCGTGCCACCTGCTGCTTTAGCCTGTGGCATAGATACAAGGAGATGTATTTATGGTAGATTTTGCTCATGGTGTTATGTAGTCTTGTAGTAATGTTTGTGATCCTACCAACAGCCCATAATAATTGGTTGGCAACCACTGAAGAACTTACAGAAACAGGTGGTGTAACTGGCACCAACTTGTGCATCATGCGATGTTATCAGTTCTGTGCCCCACGTGGGTTTAATCCAGACAGCACTAAATTTCAATAGTTGTTTTAGTTGCATTTTTTTTTTTTTTCATCTGATGTTTGGTAAATTCCTATCTGAGATTGATCCTAAAAATCAGATAATTGGGTTTCTCAACTGCACAATAGGATTTATTCTTTAAGCATTAATGAATTGCAAAATTCAGATGTGCTGATCAAGAAATTTTGTATTTGAATTTATTTTTGTTAAAATAAGCAGATTGATTTTTTTTATTTTTTATTTTTTGCCCGAATTCTGCAATTTCGGTTTACAGTTTTAGTGAATCCCGTCCTATCTCCCTCTTAAGTCTGGTCATGTACGATTAGAGCTCCATGATTGAACGAGTTTCTTGATGTGGTATTTTTGTGTGTGTTTCTTCTTTGCTCAGTTGCCTTATTCTGCTCAGCAATAAACAGATTCACAGATTGCAGAAGCCCATGAAAAAAAGGGTTTTTGTTTTCGCATTTATTTATTTATATTTTTGGTTTTCCTGCTAATGTATTTGTTGTAAATGTTTAGCATTGCGATTTTTAGAACAGGCATACATGTATTCACTGGTTGCAGTGAAATACAAGGTTTTAATAAAGTTTTCCTTGCCATACATCGCCTCATATATCTTAAATTGAGCATGTTTTGTTGGGACCAGCTTGAGACAATGCAAGGCAGGAAGTCTTTACTATGAAACTGAGTTTCTGACCTATACTATTTACTCATTGTGCTGACATGTATTACTTAGCTTAAACAGAAAACCTAATAACCTATTATGCGACTGCGGTATGTACGCCAGTGCATGCAGATACACTTAACCCCTTAAGGACCAAACTTCTGGAATAAAAGGGAATCATGACATGTCACACATGTCATGTGTCCTTAAGGGGTTAAAGGACCACTACAGACACCCAGATCACATCAGCTCAATGAAGTGGTCTGGATGCCAGGTCCCTCTAGTTTTAACCCTGCAGCTGGAAACATAGCAGTTTCAGAGAAACTGCTATGTTTCACTGAGGGTTAATCCTGCATCTAGTGGCTGTCTCATTGACAGCCACTTGAGGAGCTTCCGCAATTCTCACTGTGAAAATCACAGTGAGAAGACGCTGAACGTCCATAGGAAAGCATTGAGTAATGCTTTCCTATGGGCGGTTTGAATGCGCGCGCCGCTCTTGCCACGCATGCGCATTCGGAGCTGAGGGGTGGAGAGATCCCCAGCGCCAAGGGAGTCCGGCGCTGGAGAAAGGTAAGTGCTTAAGACACACACACACACACACACACACACACACACACACACACACTCTCTCACGAACAGACGCATACACACTAGCTAACACACACACACACTCTCTCTCACGAACAGACGCATACACACTAGCTAACACATACACTCTCACGAACAGACGCATACACACTAGCTAACACACACACATTTACTGACAGACGCACACAAACTAACACACTCAGTAACAGACACACTCTAACACACATACACTCACACACACTCTAACACTAACACACACACACACACACACGTATTTTTTTTTTTATTTCATCCCCCCCAGCCTCCCTACCTTTGGGAGTGCTGAGGGGATTCCCTGGGGTCCAGTGGTGTCACCCGGCGGCCTGTCCTGTGGGCGGGCTGGCGGGCACACGAGGGAGCACTCTCCCTGGCTGAGTGCTTCCTGTTCAGCTCCCTCGCGCGCCGTGTACTGATGCCTGAGCCGGAAGATGACATCATCTTCCGGCTCTGGAATCAGTATGCGACGCGCGAGAGGGAACTGAAGAGGAAACACTCAGCCCCCTGCGTCCACGGTATGTACGCCACTGAATGTGAGGCCCGGGACGACCTGAGCAGTCCGGGCCCCCCAGGACCGCCGGGCCCATGACAACCGTTATGGTTGTCATGCCCTGATGGCGGCCCTGCAAGGAGGTTCCTATTCCCTTCCCTTTTCTCATAGGTGGAGATTTTAATCTTTTTTGAAAGTGTATTATTTTTGGTTTTTAATCTGTTTGTATCTACAAAATTGTTATCAAAATATCCTAAAATAGGTTCTGTTCTCTACCTAAATTGCACCATCAATCACCAAAATATCCTCCATTCCGGACAAGACCTTTTGTTGTTTACATGTTTATTCCCCACAGTGATTACTGCCAGGTATTCAAAGTAAATTATAAAGTTTAGAGTAAAACAGCCAAACTAGAAAAAAAATCTGAGTTTTCTACTTTGCTAGTTTGGCCTTAAATTTAATGTTAGAGTTGCTTTACAAAAGAAAGTAACAAAGTTGGAGTCTGTTGCCGTACCAGAAAAAATGAGGACATTAAAAATGTCAGGACACAAAAGAAGCAAAAAAACAAAAAATAAAATAAATTCTACTAAAATCTACACATCTTTATTCTGGAACTGGGCAAAATCTTAGTTTTTTGTCAGTCATTGTTATAAGCTGTGTTCTTTGTTCCTGATCAGCAGGATAGAGAAAGCATGCAGAGAAAAAACAAAAACATTGTTTCCTTCTCATTTACTATATGTGTGTTGACTGTGCCTGGACTGCATTAGATTGTGATGATAAATATTTAATATACATTTAAAAGAAATTGGAATGTTGAACTACCTGCTGTTGAGACCAGTAGTTTAGTAGCCTTCTCATGACAACCTGTTTATAGCTAAATTCACCATGGTTGTTTGGAGGGTAGTATCTGAGGGATGGCCGTATCATAAACTTCCCAGTTGCTTGGTAGTACCTTACAAGTTGAGATAAATGTTTGATCTCACAGCGGGACTTAGGGGCACTACAAAATTTTTCAAGAAGTTTGGTAACCCTGGTTAGACTTTGACCTTGGTGGAGAGATTCTTTTCAGTCGGGCGGGCGAGGGGCATCAAATGCAGGGGGAAAAAGGTTAACAGAGGTTACAATTGAAGTTGTGGTACGATGCACGGCAATGACTGTATCTTCCCATAATGCCATTAAATCCTTCTAGTTAATGGGGTTTGCATAATGAATTACAAGGTTTTTGCCGAAAATATTACTTTTCCAAAATTTGCTTGTAGCTCATCGACTCCTAAGGACTTAGCAATGTTAAACTCTATTATAACTGCACATTAAAATAACCCTTTCTAACTCAGGAGAGAGTGACCTTGTACGAAAGCGGATGGGTACAGATGTCACATATAACAGCAGCAACAGCAAGAATGGATTCTCAGAAACTCAGCCAACCTATGACAGATCTACCTCTTCATCAGGCTATTCTTCAGAGGAAGATAACACAGGTAAAAGCACAAATTAAAATACTCCTGTGCTGTAAACATAGGTTATGGTACAAAGGTCTTATTGTTTTCCTCTCTCCACTTGCTGTTTATTATAAGTAGAACACTTTGCAAAAATATTACAGATATAAGCCCTTCCGACACTATTTCACAACACATGGGGAAACTACTGCTCCTCCATCCTATCCAAGATTTTGTGCTGGGACTTATTCCTAGCTGTGCTTGTGTTTTACCAACTGTGAGGGCTTTATCATTTGCATACTATTCGCTTTCTCAATTGAATACAATGGAATCCTGTGGAGAAGATGGATTGTGCGTGTGGCTCTTGCTGCGTATGTGAATCAGGTCACCATTGCTTCTCTATGATTAGCATTGGATTGGACTACGACGCAGGAGAGGTGAGCAGCACAGATGATGTTTTGGGACTGGACAAAAGTAAATAATTTTTTTTAAATTATTTTAATTTTATGTTTTTATTCATTTTTTGGGCAAACAGGGACCTGTATTTAACTACAGGCGAACACTATAGCATTGGGAATACAGGTTTGTATTCCTAATGCTATAATTTTCCTTTTAAGCGCATGCACAATATTAATAATCGTTCTATTCTTGTGATTAGCTAACCATTTTTAATAATCCTCCTACCCTGTATCTCCTTTGTCAGTAACTTTCTGGTCACAAAAGCCTTGACAGTATTGTCTATCCTGTATAGACAGGTTTATTCCAGACAACTTTTCGTGTCTCTCTTTAGTTAGTCCATATAAACAGGCTATTTATTGCCTGTCCTCCTAATTGCCTCATCTTTGTCTACTATGTTTATCAAAGCCTGCTAGCAGCTCATCATGTTTGGATATGCTCTTGTCCATATCTAGTTGCATACTTTCAGATGAGTCTAAACGCCACAAATCTTGCCGTTCCGTGTGTATTGATTATAGCAGCCACCAGGAATGTCAAGATATCAATCATAGTACATGGATTCAACTCATCAGCAAGGTGGTATCAGCGGACCCCAACTTAACTCGTGGGATCCAAGTTTTTAAAACTACTTTTTGTTTATGATTTATTTTATACATTTCTTAAACATTTCTTACATAATGAAATGTGGAGCATGTATCTATCTTTCAATGTATTTAATAAAATGTTTTTTATATATCTATATTGCACTCAAAAAAATAAAAAAATAAAAAAATTTCAGGTCAAAATTATTTTTTATTTTATCTTTTGTACCTGTTGAGTTTAAGCTTGTAAATGGGTAATAGAGCGTGTTTGTTTTTAGTGTTCTTTTAAAATGAATTTGTGTCACTTTCTCTTTATTTCCCTTGTTTCGTAAACGGGCTATTTAAAGATGTAAATCTAATCAAAAAAAGGGGGGGGGGAAATTGCATTTGGTTTTATGTGGTCATTTATTTAAAAATTTTTTATCTTAATGAGTTATAGAATTTTGTAACTTATTTATTATTCAAAACACTGTTTGATCAAAGTCACATGTCTATACATGTGAAATATCATTTCATACTCTTTGTTAGATGCAATTTAAAATGTTTGAGCTTTTTCTTTTCAAAACTCCCACACCAACGTTTACAAAAATATTTAAGACCACAAAAAAATAAAACTATTATTGAAATGTTGACCCTGTTTTACAATATAAAACACAAAAATTATTTTATATTTTTCTTTAGTTTGCAGTATCATTAATCATGTTCTGTATTATTATTATTATTTTTTATTTTTTTTATTTCTTATCCAAGAGCAGGGGTAGGCAACCTACGGCACTAGTGCCATGCACGGCACTCAAGGTGTCTTTCCACGGCACTCAAGGCTGCTAGAGCCAAACAGGGTCTGGCCTCTCAGGAGTCTCAGTGAAACTTCAGATATCTGCTAATACAAAGAGGTAGTTAAGGACAATCCTCAATTTATGTATTGCAGCACATAGGGTAAGTGATCTCAGATCACTTCCTCCCAGCACTTGTGAATGGGAATCCACACTGTAGTAGAGCAGCCCACAGCTGATGTTGCAGCTCCTCCCCTTTACTCACCTCCCCCTTCCTTGTGTTCTCCTCATCTTCCCTTCTCCTCACCCCCCCCCCGTGTTCTCCTCATCTCCCCTTTACTCACCTCCCCCTTCTCCTCACCTCCCCCTTCCCTGTGTTCTCCTCACCTCCCTCCTCCCTGTGTTCTCCCTTCCTCTAACCTCCCTCCTCCCTGTGTTCTCCCTTCCTCTAACCTCCCTCCTCCCTGTGTTCTCCCTTCCTCTAACCTCCCTGTGTTCTCCCTTCCTCTAACCTCCCTCCTCCCTGTGTTCTCCTCATCTATCCTTCTCCTAACCCCCTCCCTGTGTTCTCCTCACCCCCTCCACGTGTTCTCCTCATCTCCCCTTCTCCTCACCTCCCACACCCTGTGTTCTCCTCATCTCCCCTTCTCCTCACCTCCCACACCCTGTGTTCTCCTCATCTCCCCTTCTCCTCACCTCCCACACCCTGTGTTCTCCTAATCTCCCCTTCTCCTCACCCCCCCTCCACATGTTCTGCTCATCTCCCCTTCTCCTCAAGCAGCTGCAGCCTTATAGGAAGCGCCGGCCCTGCTTGGGGGCCAAGGCCAGCTCGGAGCCCCAAGCAATTGCTTGGTTTGCTTGCCTGGTAGCGGCGGGCCTGAGGTTCGGCACGCTACGGGACATTACAATCCTATATCGGCACAGTGCTGCTAAAAGGTTGCCTACCCCTGTCCTAGAGTCTAAATTTGAAAACTAATTGTGGATCCCTCCCCCCCCTCCCCCCCTTTCCACATTAAGAATAATATTCCCCTAGAGCTAGACCTTTTTTATTTTCCCATAAAATATAAAAAACTTTTCAATAAAAAACATTTTGACAAGAATGATATTTATGAAGGAGGGGTCCCCAAGACTCTTGTCCCAATTGGTGTTTTACCTCTCTCCCGTAATAAAGGTCCAGGGTATAGCCTAGAACCAGAGATTCCAAAGTCCCTTGACACCAACACTGTGGCCCCTAAATAACATATACATATATATTAATTTTTAAAAATGCATTATTTATTTTTGTCCCCCAGGTCAATATCATTCAGATGATTATTCCACCCAAGGCTCCTGGTGGAGAAGATGGACTAGGTGTGTGCGTGAGCTCCCTTGGCTTCTGCTTTCATATCCAGGTTAGTCAAACATAGAATAGAAGAATATTTGGCAATACACCTTTTTGATATAGTTTCTGTTTAGGGCAGAGCCCTTCCTTACTCATATTGAACCTGTCATTACTTTAATGGAAATTGCCTCCATCGACTTCCAACATCTAATTTACTATGAAGATAAATTATTCTATTTATTATTATTATTATTATTATTATTAGCACTTATATAGGAATAGAAAAAGAAGGGAATCAAAACAGAGAATACCTTAATCTTTAATACCCTAAATTTTCCCTATGACAAGCATTATTTAATAAGCGTTGTAGGGTTATTAAATCTCTACTCTATTTTTATTAACAAAGTATAACTTGCTCAACTAATTTTCAAATTGGTGGGAATTTTTTTATATCAATATTTGGGAGTACAAATATATATTTCCTGGAAACTTTAATATTATATTATTTGCTCTGATTAAGGGATTCTCTGTTTTTGGTTCCCATTTAATCTTTATTGTTTTAATTTATTCCTATTCTTATACACATTTAGGGTTAGGCTCTGTTCCTGTGAGATTTATCTATTTTAGATGACTTTTTTTTTTCTCTCTCCTAGTTGACTTTCTGTAATGCTAGCATTTACATAGCCATAATATGTTTCACAGTGTCTTTACTGTTATAAATTGGGGTTGATTCCCCCAGATAGCACTATCTACAACAAATGTGCTGTGGTTGCTGTGCCTGTGAGTTGGAGGACCGCTTGTAGGAGGGTCTTTGTAGACATAGAGGTTTATGCTAAAGAACTAATTGACAAGTGAGGGAGTGGCCAGTATTGTTTGTGTGATATATATAACATATATAACAACATATATAACAGCTTATATATATAACAACAACATATATATATATATATATATATATATATAACAGCTTATATATATATAACAACATATATATATAACAACATATATATATAACAACATATATATATATAACTTAACATATATATAGCGCAACAGCATATATATAACAACATATACCATATATATAACAACATATATATATATATATATATAACATATATATAACATATATATATATATATAACGCCGCCATATAACGCCTTATATAACGCCGCCATATAAACGCCGCCATATATAACGCCGCCATAACGCCCGCCGCCGCCATAACGCCGCCGCCGCCGCCGCCGCCAGCATGCCGCCGCCGCCGCCGCCGCCAGCATATGCCGCCGCCGCCGCCGCCGCCGCCTTATGCCTGCCGCCGCCGCCGCCGCCAACGCCGCCGCCTTAACGCCTTAACGCCGCCGCCGCCGCCGCCGCCGCCAACGCCGCCGCCGCCGCCGCCGCCGCCGCCTTATAACGCCTTATACCGCCGCCAACGCCGCCGCATATAACGCCTTAACATAACGCCGCCCAACGCCGCCGCCATAACGCCGCCGCCTTATAACGCCGCCGCCATAACGCCGCCGCCGCCTTAACCGCCATAACATATATATATACTTATAACGCCGCCATATATAACGCTTATATATGCTTTCTTTTTTTGCTCTGCTCTTTCTCTCTCTTTCTCTCTCTCTCTCTCTCTTTTCTCCTCACTTTCTCTCTCTTTCTCTCTCTTTCTCTCTCCCTCTTTCTCTCTCTTTCTCTCTCTTTCTCTCTCTTTCTCTCTCTTTTCTCTCTTTCTCTCTCTTTCTCTCTCTTTCTCTCTCTTTCTCTCTCTCTTTCTCTCTCTTTCTCTCTCTTTCTCTCTCTTTCTCTCTCTTTCTCTCTCTTTCTCTCTCTTTCTCTCTCTCTCTCTCTCTCTCTCTCTCTTTCTCTCTCTTTCTCTCTCTCTCTCTCTCTTTCTCTCTCTCTCTTTCTCTCTCTCTCTCTCTCTCTCTCTTTCTCTCATACCTGCATTTTGTTTTCACTCTATTTTCTTGTGTATTTTTTTTTTTTTAATTCTGTGTTCTCAACCCATAGTTCCACTTTATCATGTGTATGTCTATAATTCCATATGTGTAGCGTCTCTGTATCCCCATACTATACCTTGAGCCTGCTCTACTCACACTTCCCTCTCTCCCTCATATTGTACAGGACGTTTGTTTGGTCTTCTCTATTGGTGGTTTGGTACAACATGGTATCGTTTAACTACCTCTGCCTCTCTCCTTGATGTTTTCATCTTAACCAGGTCTGTGAGTGCAAATAACTAGGCTTACTATAAATGTTTACTTGCTTACTTGAGACAATAAGGATGTATACTTGTTGAAACACATGCATATGCAAACAATATGAGCGCTTATGTATCTGTTTTTATTTTCAAAGAAACCCTGTACCTGCTAGGTTTAGAAAAGTAGCAGATGTCTAGACAGATAGCTGGAGCAAACAATGCAAAGCTCTTTTGGATTTAAATTGACTCAATGACGTACAGGATTAAACCACTTAAATGATCAAGAAACTTAAGTCAAGTATAGGAGGCTAAGCTGTTCTGCAGTTCTACCTGTCATAGTTCAATAGAAACCGCATAAGATTGTCTAAACTCTACTAAAACTATTACACGTGCTTCTACATACATTTTCCTAAAAAAATAATACATTCAACCCCTTAATTAAGAGGTATTATTCAGTTTATTCTGAGTAGCTTTGCAAAAGTCTCTTTCTAAGTCTGTCTCATGCTCTTACTACATGACATATTTTTACATTTTGAGGATGTTGTGGTTTTCAATTTGAGCTGTAATTGTCTTTGTCTAATAGCAAAGAGATCAGCAAATCGGGTATGTTGAACATTGTTTTTGTTTTATTTTTTAATATTCTTTTCTCAGTAGTTTAAGAAGATTGTAATAGATAAATCTGTAGATATATTTTGTGTCCTGATGAATGAGACAATATGCCAAAAACAAAAAAAAAATTAGTTTTGACCACCATCTTGCAAAATTTAGGCCAAGCTATCAAAGTTGGAAACCATATTGACTCAAAAAAATAGTACATTAATTGTAGTTCTATTTTGGCATACCTGTTGCAAGCGGGTTGTTGACAAACTATATGGCATGAAATCCAAAATTGTAGAATGAGAATAAAGAGGAAAAAGCCTTGATTTGGTATTTTTTTTTGTTTTTTTGTTTTTTTTGTAAATATAGCTTTTATTAGCAGTTCAGGTAATAACAGAAAACAGTGCGAATGTTGTCAGTGAGACTCGCAGGTCTCCAATTGCATCTTACATGCACCACAAGTATTAGGTGGACAGATAGGTTCTATATTTGTTCCCCAACCAAATGGTTAATAGTGCGGTAGATCCCAGGTCACGTCCTCTAACGTGGGGAGTGAGAGGGGTTTGTTTTGCAGGACCAGGTCCTGTAGTCTTGCACCAGGTCTGGAGCTCCCTCTTCTGTCTGCCCTTTCCCTAACTTCTGTAGTGTCTAGGTATGTTGTGGGTTCTCTCCTGGGTCATCTACCCTCTCGTTCTGAGTCTGCGTCCCTTCCTCATTTATGAGGCGATGCCGTTATAAAGGGGGGGCGGGGGGGTGCTCAGTGGTGGGTTTAGTCGCCTCTGTCGTCTTGCTTCCTTGTGAGCAGTATTTGTTGTCGCTCACCAGTCGCTATCCACTTTTGGTATCTGTGGTGTGTCTGGAGTGTTTTCCCCCTTTGGGTGGGGGTGATGTGGTGTCTCAATGTTCGGTTGTGTCAGTCGTCTTGTGTTGTCATATGTTTGCTGTTTATTGTAGGAGTTTCCCTTGTCGTGGGATCTTCCCAACTTTATCAAGCGATGTCTCGCGGGTCCCATGTCCCATGGAGAAACCATGGTGCCTTCTCGGGTTCTAATATTTTTGTGGCCATGTTGCGCCAGGCGGTCCCCGGCCTCGCCCAGGGGGAAAAAAAAGGGGGGTGGGGGGGAAGATAGGGTTGGGTGAGAGGGGGGAGCTAAAAGGTATGGGGCAGAGCTATGTTGTGGCATGGGTCTATCCTGACTCCTGAGTTAGCCGGTCAGGGCAGATTGGGGGGGGAGAAGTTGTGATGGAATGCGCGTGTTGTTCTAGCTGGCTAAGGATCCCCGTGGTGTCCCATCCCCTGTCCTCGTTTGTGATGTGTATAGGTACCATGGCGTCCACATTTCAAGGTGTTTGTTTCTCCTCCCGAGTATCTCAGCGTATCTCGCCTCAGCTGTGTGAATCTCTTCTATTCTCTGTAGCCATTCCGTTTTGGTAGGTGGCTGAGTTTGCTTCCATCTCGCTGGGATCAGTGCTTTGGCTGCATTAAGCAGGTGTCGTAGGATTGAGCGTTTGTATTGTGCCAGCTGTCCTGTAAAGAAGTGTAGGAGCGCGGCCGCTATGCTAAAGTCTGGTGGGTCAACCAGAATTGTAGTGATTTTCCCGGTTTATCTCTTCCCAGAATGGCTTGATCCCAGGGCAGTCCCACCAAATGTGGCGTAGAGTGCCTGGCTGTGTTTCACATCTCCAACAAGTATCCGGGACCCCCGGGAAAATCCAGTGCAGTTTTGCTGGTGTTCTGTACCACTGGGAGATCAGCTTGTAGTTCACCTCTTGGTACCTGGTGCTTATTGAGCTTTTGTGTTGTAATATGAGAATTTGTGCCCATTGGGCATCTGTGAAGTTTCTGTCTGTCAATTCCTCCCACTGCCTCTGGAAGGCGTTGTTTCTGGAGAGTTCCCCTGTGAGCAGTTGTTGATATATGCCCGATACTCTGCCATCTGCCTCTGGAGAGCTCTCGCAGAAGTGTTCAAACCAGGTCCATTCTCTGTGTACTGCTCCCCTATTGGGCAGATTGTGGTAGAAGGGCCTCAGCTGTGCGTAGTGAAATCGGTGCATTATCGTCAGGCGTTCTGTGTCCGCCCAGGCTTGAAGGCTGCGCAGGCTGGCGTTTGTCAGGGCCGAGCTCAGGGGTACATAGTCCTCTTCTCTGTGTATTGGCCACTATGGTTTCGTTATATGTTAGGGGGATCAGGGGACTTGGCTGTGGTGAGATGTGTGCGTTCCTTCGCAGGGTGGTTCAGGTTTTCAGCGTCTGCGCCCCTGTCGGGCGGTGCCAGATGTATGTGTAGAGTGCTCTGTTTGTGCTTTCCCTGTCCAGTCTCGTCCATAGTTTGTTGGTGGGGGCCGTGTGCCATTCTCGAATCCTCTGGAGCACTGTCGCGTGGAAGTACCTCCGAAAGTCCGGTAGGGCCAGGCCTCCCCATGATTTTGGCAGGCATAATCTGTCGTGTTTAAGCCGTGGCCTCCCCTCCTTCCAGACATACTTGGTTACCGCTGTTTTGAGCTTGGAGAAGAAGTCCTGTGGTAGGTGCCAGGGGATTGTGCTAAAGCAGTAGAGAAGGCTGGGGAGGATGTTCATTTTGACCACCGCTATTCGGCCTTGCCAAGAGATGTGATCGTACGACCATCTCGTCAGGTCCGTCAGTACGCTGCGAAGTAGGGGTGTGTAGTTCCTGTCGTATGTCTCGCCCGGGTCACGGCAGAGCCAAATACCTAGGTAGCGCATCTGCTCCTTGCACCAGTGGAAAGTTAACTTGCGTTGGAGTCTCTCCTGTGTGTTCCTTGCGGTGCGTATTGCCAGAATTTCCCATTTTGCTTGATTTAGCTTAAGCCCTGATATCTGCCCGTATTGTTCGAACTCCCATAGGAGAGCCAGCCGTGTGTTCTGAGGTTCCGTGACGAAAAAGAGCATATCGTCCGCGTATGCGGCCACCTTATGTGTCTGATCTTTCTGTTTGAATCCCTGGATCTCTGGTGTCAGTCTGATCTTGTCTAGAAACGGCTCTAACGTGAGAGCAAAGTTGGCTGTGAGTGCTCCGTTTACCCGTACTCTGGCAGTTGGGTCGGTGTAGAGTGCCGTTATCCAGGTGAGTATGCCGTTCCCCAGACCCATCGCCGTCAGCGCTGCCGTCATGAAGCCCCACCTCACCCGATCGAATGCTTTTTCCGCGTCCGTGGAGAGCATAAGGGAGTCCGTGGTTCCTTTACGTGCCAGGCTTTGTATGGTGAACGCCCGCAGGGTGCTATCCCTGGCCTCTCTTCCCGGGATGAACCCCATCTGGTCTGGGTGGACTAGTCTCGGTAGGAATTGTTGCAGTCGCATAGCTAGCACCTTGGAGAGGATCTTCACATCCACGTTCAATAGTGAGATGGGGCGGTAATTGCCGCAGATTTCTGGGTTCTTGCCGGGTTTGGGAATCACTGTGTTTATGGCTGCTAGGGATTCTCGGTGGAATTTACCTTTGTCTCGGAGGTGGTTGCAGGCGTTGGCGATGCGTGGGGCAAGGATGTCTCTGAACTTTTTATAATAGCCCGCCGAGAACCCGTCTGGGCCCGGCGCCTTCCCATTCTTTGTCGTTTTTATCACTGCCAGTATCTCTTCTGTAGATATCGGGCGTCTAGGGCGTCTGCTTCCTGCGGGGACAGGGCTTCCGGGTTGAAGTCTCTGAGGTAGTGTGCGATGTCTCCTGCGGTTCTGGTCTCATCCGCGTCCGGCGTTTCGGGTGGTATGTTGTATAAGTCTTCATAGTACGTGCGGAATTAGTTCGCGATCTCCCCGGGGAATTGCGTAGTGGTGCCCCAGGCTGTTCGCAGTGCGCTCACCTGTGCACTTGTTTGTTGGTTCCGCAACATGCGGGCTAGTAGTCTTCCTCCCTTGTTGGCATGAATGTAGAAGAAGGCTTTTGATCTCTGGATTGTCCTGTGATGTTTGCGGGCTATCAGGTCTGTAAGTTGCCGTCTGAGGGTCAGAAGGGTGTGGTAGTGCGCCTCCTGTTGGGACCTCATATGCAGCGTTTCCAGCGTTGCTATCTGTTCTACAAGTGCCGTCATTTGTCGTTGTGCTTCTCTCTTTTTCTGCGCTGAGATCCGGATAAGTAGCCCCCTGAGGACGCTTTTGTGTGTCTCCCACAGGGTCAGTGCGGAGGTATCTTCGGTGTCGTTTTCAGTGAAGTAGTTATTCAGTTGTTTGATTTGGTATGTTTCTAAGAAAATGTGTTGCTCTGCAGGTTATCTTCAGTGTTCCAAGAATGTTCGTATATAGTACTGTTCAATATATACTGAAATCCATTTAAATAGAGTATTGGTGTATTTGATATGAAATCATGATCAATGGGACTTTTTAAAATAAATTATTTTGTAGATTTTTGTGTGTTGTTTTTACATGTTCTAAATGTAATCCCCCACCCCTCTGTTTTTTTCTTTCTCTTTTAGATATGTGCTATTAGCCCATACACATACTGTTATTTATTTGCATTGTATAAAAACTTCATAATGAAATAATGTGACTGTCTGTGTGTTTACTATTAATGATGTTTTGTATCTGCAGGCATTATGGAGCTTTGAAGAAGGTGCTGATGATCCTCCTACTTCTGCTAATATTATCCCTGATTGCTACAGGTTAGAAGGATGTCCGCTTTTCTCTTATTTTGGCTAATTCCAAATTCTATTCCTGCCCAAACCATAGTCTAGTTTTTGTGTGGATGGGGATAAGCAGAGCTATGGTGACTGACTGTTAAAGGAACACTTCAGACACCTAAAGCACTTCACCTTGTCTAGAGTCTGTCATTTTTGAGGGCTAATTTCAATAGAAAGCTTCACTTTTAGAATGGTTTTACAATGATTTATTTTACGTACATTAGCTCCACATAAGTGGGAGAGGTACTTGCCTTCAATTCTTCTCCAATTAACTTTTCTACAGCTCACTGAGGATCATTGGATAGCCACATGCGCTCTGACTGGTCAATTCCCTGGCACAAATTGAAAGTTTGTCCTTTGAGTAGAGGCTGCAGATAGCAGATTTCCAACTTTTGGAAGCTATTTTTTTTCACATACCTCTAGGGAAAACATGCATGATAAAATACATGCTCAGTTAATATTTAAAACAAACAAAAAAAAACAATGGAGCGTTCCTTTAAACTAAAAACATGTTGCAAGGGAACAGGGCCTGGCTGCTTGAGGAGCATCTCTGATTCTAGGAGAATTTGAAGCCTGATTAGCAAGTTATCCTGACCTTTTCTTCAATTAACTGACCTTTAATCATATCAAAGACACCCTGCAACCTTTTTGGACTGACCTTTTTCTATTGTGATTGCTGGGGGGTGGACATGCAAGGAAGGTGTTCTAGGCAATTGCTGCCTCGAGAGTTTAGTTCCTCTGAACTAAGCAACCAGGAAATAACCAGAGCTGTTGTCTGACAGCTGGCGGGGGGGTGTAACAAGGTTAATTTATAAAATTGCTAATTTCTATTGAAGAGGACACCCTCTTCGCACATAAAGCACTTCAGCAAGCTAAAATGTTTTAGGAATCCCCTTCAGTTAGTGAAATAAAAAACTTTTTAAAAATAACTCTATGAAACTATACCTTTTATTCCATTGCAGAGATATTACAAATATTTATTTATTTTTTATCTCAAGGATTGTGGCATTTCTATCCATTTGGTCTTCAGAATTTGGCCTCTCTTCCTGTTTCTTCTTTTTTTTCCTGGAAGCAGAAATCCATTGTAGATGACGTTCTTACAAAAGAAGACCCAGGACCACAAACACAACCTCCCTTCTCTCAGGTCTGTGATAGACTTTGATTTTTCATTAAAAATGTCACCTAAAGAATATCCGTAGTGGATAGTAAAAATTTTATATATTGGCAAATTGTTTTAAAAAAAAAAAAAAAAGGTTATTTAATGATTTTCGTGTTTTGGAGCAGTTGTACATATCCACACAAAATACTCTATCCTCATAAGTACTTAAATGGAAAGTGAATAATCTGACAATTCAAGCCTTAGAGCAACCAATGGATGTGGATATACTGACGCATGTAAAACATTTATATATATTTTTTTAACGTTCTGTTTAGGGATATTCCTTACTTGTGACAGTTTAAAGGCGTTCCTGGTGTTTTGTTGTGCATGTGCACTTATCTCTTAATGCTTTTGTATGGGAAAGTGTTTAAATTGGCAGAGATCGCCAATCTCAATGATCTCCAACAAATAGGCAGAGCTTTACGGAGAAGAACGGTGCTGCGAGGTTTATTAACCATGACAACGCTGGCCGAGTCACCCAAACAGAGACCAGAGCACTATATCATTAGCAATACATATTTGTATCCCTAACACTGTAGTGTTCCTTTGACTCCTGAAAGAATTTCAAAGTTATTTGTTAAAATGAGGATTGTAGGGAATTTAAGGTGAATTTCAAATTAAATGCTGAAATGGAAACCTTTTCCTAGTCAGCTATGATTTCAATTCGGTTACAGCAACACATTCACTTATACAATTTCAAAAGGAATGAATAAGTAAATAAGGAGCTTGTCCTCTTACGTTCTCTCATGCAGTTACACCATTTTACAGTAATCCCCCCTCTGACATTAAGGCCAAGTCCTACCTATACATTCATCTGGGCCCAAGACAACATGTCTTGACTAGAGATGTCGCGAACCGTCCGCGAACTTCTCGCGAATGGTTAGCCGCGAACTCCGGTCAGCTGACACATCCCGGCCAATCTCCGGCAGACCCTCCTACTTCCTGGACAGCATCCATGCTGAAGGCACACTTTCAAATGCCTAAGAATGTATTAACCTCTTAAAATAAGTTGCGACAGAGATAACAGAAGAAAAATCTTTTAGGCTTTGGAGATGTCTACACTAATTGATCTATGTTCACTTCATTTCACAACTCCTTCCATTTTTATTTCTCCTTGTCTTGTAGGTAGAATTAATCTCCCGCTTAGATTCACTTGAAAAAAGGTTCCAGGGACTTGAAAATCATCAAAAGAAGTCGAAGAATGGTGAAAAGAATAATGCAGTAGGGTCTGGACCGAGTCGAGATCAGATAGCCCAGATCTTTAAAGAACTATCAAGCCACAGAGATGCAAGCCTGAAAGAAAGTATTCTTGAGGAAGGATCTAACAAAGCTATGGTATGAGGGGTTGATTTACTACAAAAGTCATTTTGAAATGAATGCACTAGTACTGATCTATTGCTGACTTTCTCATTTTGTGTATATTAGAATGATTTGAAAATTCTGAGAGCAGAACAACAGGGAAACCTTCAGGAAATTCTCGAGAAAATGCATCAATTGTCCAAGGTAAGGAAATCAATACGAACAAATAAGTGTTACCATACTTTACACCACCTGTAATATTTCATAGTATTTAAAAACAAACTAACATTAAACATTTATGTATGTATTTCTTTCTACTGGCTAGTCCGAAAAAATATGTATCATATATGGGGGGAAAATAATAATGGAAAAAAAACACTGCATGTTTATTACAGTAATATCATAATGACCTAAGTAAAACAAATTGTGTGCTTCAATGTTTTTGCTTCTCTCTCTTTATCTTTATTTACATGTCTCACTCTTTATCTTTTATTTATATCTCTCTCCTTATCTTAATTGTATCCTCCTGATAGTAACTAAAATGGCAGAACTTGGCCAGCTGATAGGTAATCTCCAATCTACATGGAAGCTGAATAGTGTATGTTATTATTATTTATAAAGCACCAACAAATTCTGCAGCGTTGTTCAATGTGTGAACTAACAGACACTTGTTTGTAACCAGACGAGTTGGATGCACAGGAACAGAGGGGGTTGAGGGCCCTAATCAAATGAGATTGCATGGTAGAGGGAATGGGGTATAGCGACACAAAAGGTAAGGTTTAAGGATGTTAGTGTGCAGATATAGACTTACAAAATATTACAGATACGTGAAAATCCCCAACATGATTTCTTCTGTTCACAGGAAGTCAATGGTCAGATTCTACAGCTCAAGGTAGAATTAAAAAGGTAATGTGGGTACGCCTTTATTCAAAATATCTTGAAATGATTGTACTTATTCTACTTATTATTTCTGTTGAGATGCTCCCGTATAATTGAATTCCATTAGTTCAGCTTGTTTATATATTCTTCCAGTTCTACTAAATTGGAAACTATGAAGTATTGGTAATTTTAGGTCAAAATAGCTGAAACGAAATTCAACTTGATATTTTCTTCTGTACAGTATTTTGGTGTCAAATCTACAGGGTTTTTTTTTTTTGTCACTTTTTCACCCCTTAAGGACCAAACTTCTGGAATAAAATGGAATCATGACATGTCACACATGTCATGTGTCCTTAAGGGGTTAATGAACCAATGTGACCCTTTATGGTTTTAAGTCCTAGTAAAGTAGTGCCTTGGCATACCTTGCCACAAACCACACAATATTACATGTTGTATTTAACGTATGCTATGTGAACTTGCTGGTCATATATATTATATATTTATTTCACTTGTATGTTGCATTTGCATGCTCTTGGTCTGAGTCACTATGATTTTTGGATGTTTACTGTGTTCTGTTTGCTTGCAATTGCACTTTGCGCTCTATTACGTGATAAGTGCATTTCAAAATAAGCAAATTAAACCGGAATAAGCCAGTCAGTTGGTGTGGAATATACAGAAAGCTTGGTCAATGACACTGCATCATACAGCAACAACTTTGTCTAGACAGAAGATATGGTCATGAACAGTTATGCTTGTATATATCAAACACATAAAAAGAGAAGCAGGAAAGTAAATCTAGCCATTTGTCATCATGTCTGGCAACAAAACTCTGAAGGCCGGCTATTGAAAAGGTGACTTCCAAGTGAGATTGCCTTGAATTTATATAGGGTTTGGTTTTTTTAAGGGTTTGGTACCATACCACCTTTAAACATTACGTTACACCTGCTTATTCATTATAAGACAAGCCAGGAAATGATGAAGCTGTAGGTCTACGTGTTCAGCCAGTTGGGTAATAAGGTGACCGGCCTGAGCAGTGCAGTGGTGGGATATTTCAGAATTATAAATTGGCCCCACTTGAGGTGTGGTGACACCTGTCAAGGTGTATGTAAATTATCCAGACAGCTCTTACACATGATCATCTAACTTACTTAGACTGATAATGCACATTGTATAAAAAGTTTTAGGCAATAGTGTAAAATATAAAACTGATGTTCACAAAACAAATCCAACTTAACATTAAAGAAATAATGACAAATGTGTTCATAATAAAGTGTAATTAATGTAGAAAATGTAGAGATTACACCCCAGTATTAGGAAGTATTTGATATTGTACACATTTTCTTCTAGGAAAAGAGATACATCTAGAATATTAATTTAGCAGTTCTTACCTCATTTAAAGCACTTGACAAAATGTAATAATTAAACATAGGTAGGGTTGCAGTAAGGATATGTGATTGCTGACATGCAAGGAGTAAGATGGCCTTACCTGTGGACTTTAATCTCAATTTGTAGTACTTTTTATAATGTTTTGTAAGACCGTCAGAGATCTTACAATGTAAATGTATAATGAGTCTTGAGACAAAAAGTAGCATGGGAGAAAAGGCAGTTCTTGGCTTCCTCTAAAATGCCCTTGACGTTCTTATATGTTTCTGATGTAAGCAACGGAGGAGTTGGTGAGATGGTTACCAAGTAATTGATGGTGATTTCACACAGATTGAGAATTATAGTCTATAAATTAAAGTGAGAAGAGGGTGAACAAATTGATGCAGAAGATATTGACCTTTGTGGGGGCAGCAGATTAGTAGTTCTTCTGGGAGACTGTGTGTGTGTGTGTGTGTGTGTGTGTGTGTGTGTGTAGTGGAAACTAGCTTTGGATGCAAGCTTGCCTCTGGATGAAGTGAAAAATATCTTTTTGGAGGCAGCAGGTGTTTAAATAACAATTACAGATAAAAATGTATGACGTATACCAACAAGAGCAATATTTCTAAATAAGAGGCCAAGTCTCGCGTACTTTTACTGCGACTGAACTAGCAGCTATTGATTGGTTGCCTTAGTGAAAGTGTGTAAAAAGTCTGACCATTTCTCTCTCTTATTTGTAGAGATTGTTGGTAATTACCTCCTGTGATCCTTGTAGCTGAAGTATCTGTACTTTATTCCTATTAACATTTACTAGAAACTAATCCCAGTTCTTAAAGATTTCTCTGTTTTGGAGGGTATTTAAACAATCCCAACAGCGGTAAGGAAACCTTTTTTACTGCCTACCTTAAGGCAAATGTGAAATTTTTGTGACTATATGATTCACGGACAATGCACACTTTGTATTTAGAGAGTGTCTACTGAACCATGCTATTATTTGTCATATTGTATTCGGTTTTGTATGTTTTTAGTCCATCCCAGGAAGAGCTGAGAGGAACCTTTATGCTGGAAATGAGAAGATTGGAGAAGGGCCTAGTGGACCTTCAAGCACAGGTTGAGTCTGTGAAGAACACCCAGGGTAAGATGTCACAGGAGATGGAGGAAGTCCCGAGAAAAATTCAAGGAGTCAAAGATGAGGTGAGTTGATAACACTTTTCCCATATTTGGCAAATTAAAAATGTTTCTCTGAAACTGCTATGTTTATAAAAAAAATGGGTTAACCCTAGAAGGACCAGGCACCCAGACCACTTCATTAAGCTGAAGTGGTCTGGGTGCCTAGAGTGGTCCTTTAAGCGTAAGACAAGCTTCTGAAGCTGTGTCCTTAAGGGGTTAATCAATCTATTTACACATGTCAATCTGTTTATATACATTTTTGCTATTTCTGAATTATAAGTTTTTGCTTTATCTGACTATTTTAAATACTACTTTCTTAGTTCCTATTAACGGACTGACATTTCTGTTATACCACATTAAATTTTAAAATTTAGCTTAATTTATATTTGCCTCCCAATAGTTTTTGAGTGCCGATTTTGAATGTATCGCAGTTATCCTTTGCTGCACTCCTGGTAATTCAGCCCATGAGTAGAGCACCTTTAACAGGACTCTGTGCATATACCGCCATCAGTGGCGCTGGCCTGCCTGCATGCATTTACATCTTACTTGTGCTTACAGTGTTCCTTTAAATGGTATCTCTTAACGTCTCTGCAAACTGAGAAAATCACCTAGCAGGTTATCCCTACTGCCAAGTTAAAGTAATTTAGCGAAAAATTCACATGGATAATATTGTATCAATTATATCTAAAAACTTGAAAATGTAGTGCCACCTAGTGGATTTTAACATCATAGAGTATCTCACATAATGTAAGTTTTGCTGTACTTGGCATGTGTTGGCTGTGGTGTAGCGATTTTATGATTTCAGATTTTATTATTGAATTACCCAAGTGAATCTGTGAATTTGTTTAGATGTTTTGTTTGTGTGTAGTATGCAATTGAGAAATAAACTAAGATAATAATAGGTTTTCAAAATGGTGGTTAAGGATTTAGTACTGTCTTTCTTGGTGTTTTTTCTTGTTTCTTTTATTGGTTTCCCTCTTGTCCTCTTTTGCTTTGGTTCCACAGCCAAGATTATATTGATTGAGGAACAAAGTCCTTCATTTACATGTTGAAGATGTTAGCTTGCAGTTTAATGCTATGCAGTCAATAAAATAAATTTTAAGTGAGATTAGAAACTCCTCGTTTACCACGTGACTACTGTAAACCTCTCCTTGGCTGGCTAAAAGAAAAAATGGACACAACTCTAGTCTGTACATAATGGACTGCCAAAGGCATTGAGCACTGTGAAAGAATATATATGGTGACAAGGAATTTAGGGGTGAGGCCATCACTAGGAAAGCTTTGTCTAGTTAAGTTAGATCTCTGGGTGAACTAAGTTTTAGGATTCTGGGTAAACTGAAGTTCGTAACTGCATGGATTTGGTGGCCAGGCTGTTGCTGAGGGGCTGGGACCTGTCAGGGATTGGGCAAAGGTGTCACGAGCGGTAAATGGCAGGATTCTAAATGTTCCCTAGCAAAGGCACACTTCTGTCACTGCTGCTGGACTTTTTAAATATAGTGCTGCTCTGCCGGACCCCCAACCCTTCCCTGTTTGTATTATTATTGTCATGGTGTTTGTGGGTATTAATGGGTAAAATCATCTTCTTGGTTAATAATAGAGGATTGACTTAAAGGACCACTCTAGGCACCCAGACCACTTCAGCTTAATGAAGTGGTCTGGATGCCAGGTCCTTCTAAGGTTAACCCATTTTTTCATAATTATAGCAGTTTCAGAGAAGGCGCTTGCGTGATTCTCACTGTGATTTTCACAGTGAGAGCACGCCAGCGTCCATAGGAAAGCATTGTAAATGCTTTCCTATGAGACCGGCTGAATGCGCGCGCAGCTCTTGCCGCGCGTGCGCATTCAGCCGGCGGGGCGTAACGGAGGCGGAGAGGAGGAGGAGAGCTCTCCGCCCAGCGCTGGAAAAAGGTAAGTTTTAACCCCTTTCCCCCTTCCAGAGCTGGGCGAGAGTGGGACCCTGAGGGTGGGGGCACCCTCAGGGCACTATAGTGCCAGGAAAACGGGTATGTTTTCCTGGCACTATAGTGGTCCTTTAATGGAGAATGGTTTTAATGGCTGTCAGGTTACCTGTGACTGACTGACACTTTGTGTTTTTATGAAAGCTAAGTAAAAAGGTTAACTATGTTTTATGTGTGGTAATATTCTTATTCAAGATTGGTAAGCCACCTTTAATTCAATTTAATCAATACCACTGTCTAGCTCAACTAAAAGTTAAATAAGTTGTTTGTGTTTATTGTATGGTCTCTTAAGTCCTTTATTTATAAATATTGCCTACCGTACATATGCTTCCCGTTGGCTTCTCTTCTTTGTATATCATTGTCCCACCCATCCACTGGTTCCCCAAATTAAATCTTCTTGCCTACATTCATAAAGCACTCCACAGCATCTTTCTTATTGTGACGCCAACTTTTCTTTTCTTACCCAGAGTCTGTCATGTTTAGAACTCTTCCCAAGCTGTTCCATATCCCTGGAACTCCTTATGATGTGATTTTTCTGATCTTTGCATTCTCTCCTCTTTAAATTCCTTAATTATTCTTCAAGTCTTTCATTTATCAATAATCTATTCAATAGATATTAATTAGCCTAACTAGCCTAATTCCAATTTTTATCACTGGAGTTCAAGGGATGTGGTCCATTCTGGCTCATTTTTCCACTACCAGATTGTAGAAAAAATTACCTAAGGCTGCCATACTAGGGATATAAAATTACTTTCTCTAAACACTAATATAACATCAATGGCAACTAAAACAACTGGAGATAATAAAGGTGAGAATAAATATGAAAAGAAAAAGGAAGAGAAACCTTTGGAAAAAAGGAAAGATAAAGATAAAAAAAACTGGCCTCCATATTCTCTCCAACTATTACCAGAACCACTTCAAGCGATGCCCAACATAGCCTAATTGATGAATCTATGGCAATGGGTGATACAGACTTCGATAAATCTCATTTAGATTCTCTGGGGAATCAAAATCACAGGTATTCACCCTTGACTCCCTAAAAATATACTTGGACAAACAATTTGCTCAGTTATAAAATGATATGGTCAAGAACACAAAAGAAATAACGTCGAAGTTAAAAGACTGGAAGAAAAAAATGAAATCCAACTATCAGAATGTAAGACTAAACTGAATACTGCTGAAGAAACAATGGCTAACTTACATGATAAAATCAAATCACTGGAGCTTAATGTTCAGAACCTGGAAGACAGACATAGAAGAATAAACCTGCGAATACGAGGAGTCACAGAAGATATACAATCTCAGGATCTGGAAGAGTACTTCACAGAATTTATATCTGTTCTAAAAATTGGAGATCAATATAAAGAAATATTATTCGAGAGAATACACAGAATATCTAAGCCAAAGGGCGTTCCAGAGTCTGCTCCAATGGATATAATTATAAGATTCCATACTTACAAACACAGAGGACTACTCTCATAAGCTTTCAGAGATGTATCAGCATTTCCAAAGAAATTCCAACACTTAAGATGTTTCCCAGACGTGTCCAGATCCACTAGAATATTCAGAAGATCTTTCTATGAGACTACCACCACTCTAAGAAATAACATAAAATATAGTTTGGGTTTCCCATTGAGTTCGACTCTGCCCAAAAAGCCACTTCTTGCAGAAGTCAAAATGTTTTTCCTAAATGATGATAATGGTAAAATGTAAAGTCTCAATAGTTAAACTAATTTATTGCTCTGCTTATGTTTTTCTTTCCTCCCTACTATAAAGTAGAGTTAATTTAGTATACCTATCCCCTCCTATGATAAATGCACTTCATAGAATCACTATTGATAATGGTTTCACAAATATGAATTAGACAAAATGATTAAAGTTGGCACTCTTATAAACTTGATAAAATTCGAAACAGAGTTGGTGGGATAAGATAAGGACGAGAGGGGGTAAGAGAAGAGGGAGGGGTAGGGAGTAGACATATGATGGGAGGGATAGGGAGTGGAGATAATGGAATAAAAGCATTTAGATATTTACAATAATGGGTAAAAATAATGAACTAAAATTCACATGGGATTTTTTTATAGTTTAATTGAAATTGCACAAAGATGGAAAGTTTGACTAAGTTTGCTAGAATGGATAGATAATGCAATATCTATTAAGCATCATGGTTCAAATATAACATTCACACAATTTAAATGTTGGGATATACTCACGAGTACGTTTAACTAATTTTAATGTTTACTTATGCTTAAAATGGATGAATGTGTATTAATATTGTAGAATAAATAACGTAACTATTCACTGCCCTACAGTACAGCTCTTGATAGAAGAGCTGACAGAAAAAGTGTCTACCAAGGGAAAGGGGGTAAGACATACTATTTGGGACAATGACGCTCGTAAGGGTTTTTCAAGAGTAATTTTTTTTTTTTCTTTTTTAAACCCTTTGAGGTTTTTTTTTTTTGTTTGTTTGTTTTGTTATATGGTTGTATTTGTCTTATATGTTGAGCGGATTGTGCGTGGCCAACCTGAGGAATTACGTAGCATAAAGAGGATTAATGTTAGAGGGGAATAAGATTAGAATTATAAATTTGAACGTTAAGGGTCTGAATACTCCACAGAAACGTAAGCTTTTAGTAGATCATTTATGGAAAAAGAAAATTACTGTCGGATTTATACAAGAAACACACTGGAAAGCTGGAAACTCAAACATGAAAAGTTTTCTATTATCCAACTCTTGTCTCCTCAGATTATAGCTCTAAAAACAGAGGAGTTGCAATTTTTATTTTAAAGAATGTAACTTATAAAGAACTATATAGAGAAGTGGATAAGAATAGCAGATATGTGTTCTTGATCTGTGAATTGCAAGGGAAAATCAACTTAATATATATGCTCCAAATAAACAACCTGAAAAATGTATTAACATATTAACCAAGTTTGAAAACAAGGTACAGGGGTCCTTTATAGTTGGAGGAGACCTTAACTGTGTGGTAGATGTATCAATGCATAAAAAGGTTCCACAAGAAAGGAAACAACAAAATATCATAAAAACATTGGTTCTGCAGAATGTCATATCTAAATTTAATATATATGTGGAGAGTAAAACATCCTGATGAAAAGGAGTTCACTTTTTACTCTAATCCTCACTTGTCATATTCTAGAATAGATTATTTTTTGGTTAAAATACAGTTAATTCAACAATGTTACCTAATTAAAATTTAGGATATCACCTGGTCGGACCATTCGGCTGTGATTATGGAAATAGGGTTAGATGCTAATGAACCACGATCACAATGGAGGCTGAATAAGAGATTATTTACTCATTCTAAAACTATTGATTATATGTCGGAGAGGATTAAATTATACTATGAAGAAAATACGACACCAGAAATCTCAAAGCAAATCTTATGGTGTGCCTTTAAGAGTGTAATAAGGGGTTATTTAATTAAATTGGGGTCTGGAAAAAAAAAAGGGTAACAAGGCCTATCTTTAAATCAACTATACCTTGAATTCTATAATTTAAATAAAAAAAAATAAAATCTCCCCTACAAAGGAGTTTAATCAACAAATATCAGAAATATCCAAGAAGGTCAATACTATTTTATTGGCAAAAGTGAATTTCGCTCTACAAAAGCTAAATCTGAATTGGTACCATAAATGCAACAAAGCTGATAAAATGCTTTCCAATAGACAAAAAAATAGAAAAGCTAGATCGAGCGTCAAAAAGATCATAGTAGATGGTCATAGTTATAATGACCCAAAATCAATAGGTAATGCCTAATAAATTCTACGCACATCTTTATAATCTCTCCTCCAGCCCCCAGGAATTAGATATATGTGAATATCTGGATGGGATTAAATTGCCAACTCTTACAGATGGCCAGCAGAAAGAGTTAAACTTACCTTTCTCGGAATCTGAGGTTAGTCTGGTAATTAACAGGCTTAAGCTGAATAAAGCCCCAGGTCCTGACGGGTATACTAATTGGTTTTTTAAGAAATTTAAAAATGAGCTATTGCAACATCTAGTAGATACATTTAACAAGATTAGAGAATCGGGTCTCCTTTTGAAAGAATTATTACAGGCTAATATCTCACCGATATTAAAATCCGATAAGGACCCAACTAATCTGGTAAATTACCGGCCTATATCTCTTATAAACTCCGATATTAAAATTTATTCTGCTGTCATTGCAAATAGACTTAAATCAATTATTCCATCTTTAATGCATCATGACCAAATAGGCTTTGTTCAGAATAGAGATCCAAGTAATAACACTCGAAGATTGACTGCCCTGATTGATTATGTAACAAGGAGCAAGATCCCTATGTTGGCCCTGTCACTGGATGCTGATCAGGTGTTTGACAGGGTCAGCTGGAGTTTTATGAACCAGACTCTGGACAAATTTGGATTTGTTGGCTCCATTAAAACTGCAATAATGGCTCTTTATTCTAGTCCAACGGCTAAAACCGTGGGCCCTGGCATCTCCGCAGATTGGCTTACAATTTCTAACTGGACCAGGCAGGGATGTCCCCTGGCCTCGCTTTTATATATTTTGACTCTTGAACCGCTTGCAGTGAGCATAAGAAACAACTATCAAATTAAAGGAGTTTTCTGAATCATTCTGAATTGAAGATCAGCCTATATGCTGATGACATAATAACATTGTCTGATCCGGATATATCACTAGGGGCCTTGTTTCGGGAGTTGGAAGACTATATGGTAGAGTTTCAAACTATAAATTAAATATTGGTAAATCCCAAATTATGCCCATCAATTTAGATTTTACGACAATAGATTATCAGTTAAAATATACCTTCACTTGGTCATCACAAGGTTTTAAATATCTTGGGATTCATTTCTCTTATAGCTTAAAAGAAATGATTGATAAAACGTGGATAATCTTATAAAAGATACCAGTGATAAATTACTCAAAGAGTGGAGAAACATAGGAATTTCCTGGTTGTGAAGAATAAATATCATCAAATCATATATTCTACCTCATTGGTCATACATGTTCAGAATGATCCCTTTATTTATAACAATAACTAAACTATTATTTATAATTATTTCTGAATTCCATATGGGATTATAAGAGGTCAATGAACTTGATCTTACATGTAATGAAAAAGTCCAGTAAGGGTGGCCTGGCTGTCCAAAATCTTATCAGATATTACGAAGCTTCTAGGCTGTACCATCTGTGGAGATGGCAGGGCCCAACCACAATAGAAGAGCCTTGGTATAAAATTGAATCCTTTTATGTGTAATTCAAAAGATCTTTCTAATATGTTATGGATTGACGTTGGGGCTAGTGCAAAATTCATCTCCAACATAGAAACTTCATACATAAAAGATATCTATGTAATTTGGGTAAAATACAGGAAAAGAAATCACATTTTAAATAAAATTTCTAAGTACAGTCCAATTAAGACAATGGAATATAATATTTAATTACCTAAATTTAGGTATTTGGTTCAACTAAAATAGATGATTTATTAGAATTGAATAAAATAAGGTCTTTTTCATATCTTCAGTTAAGTCTTGACCTAAATTCAAGAGAGTTATTCTCATACCTAAGAATCAAAAAATTATTTGGATAACGATCTGCTTTGTGACAACACTAGGATAAATAAAAAAAAAAATGATCTATTTAAAAATAATACTAATGGTAAATCGATATCTAGTTGGTATGAAATATTGAGAGAGGAAGAAAGAGTCTAAACCAAAAGCCTGGATAAACTGGGAACAAGTGGGTCTCCAATCAAGTTAGAGCAGTGGTATAGATCAATTCAAGAAGTTAAAAAATCGTTGCATTGTTTAAATATTATAGAGCTCCATTATAAAATTCTTCATCAATGGCATAGGGTACCAAAAATTCTAAATAGCATTAACCCTGATAATTCCAAACTTTGTTTGAGGTGTACTTGTGCTGAAGGTAGCTGTAAACATATCTGGTGGGGATGTAAGCTTTAAAGACCTATATGGAATAAAGCATATAGAGTTATATCAGATTTAGTGGGAGAAGATTTGGAAGATAACTTAATGGTTGCTCTTTTTCATTTTAATTTACGAAGATTCTCAACTCAAAATGGATATCTAATAATCCAACTTATGATGGCCATAAAAATAGAAATATCAAGATATTGGCTACAGAAAAAGACTCCATCGTGGACCCAAGTGCTATCTCAGCTTAAATACCAACACGATATGGAAAGGGGAATATCTTTTCAATATGATAGCCACTTAACATTTGATGAGAAATGGTTACCTTGGCTATATAATCTGATATAACTATATACCTTGTTGCGTTCTCGGTTATGAATATCCTTATATATAAAGATCACTCTAGTTCTTCCCAATGGTACTGTATTCAGGAAAGTTATGAAGTAACCTAATTTTTATAGTTTAGGCCCGCCTAATCCGCTCAGTCCTTTTTAAATTGTGATACTTGTGTTTTTGTGTGTGAAGTTTACTCAACAGTTCATATATCCTTCTATTGTAAATCAAAGTCTATATGTCTAATTCTGAACTGTTTTTGTCTGTGATGTTATACATGTAAAATTTGCAAAAAGAATAATAAAAAATAATCTATTCAATACACTCTCTATATTTAAGCTACAACACACCGCAAGAATGTGTATCACCTAATACTTCCCTTTCTAATTGTAACCCATCAAAATCTACATGAATCAGTCTGTTTGAGCAGGTAAATAAATGGGTATGGCATTTACTCATTGTACCTTGTTTCACAGTCTGTCAGCACTATGTATGAAGAATAATATTTGTATCCATTTTGTTCAATGTAGCTATAATCGGTTTCTTTATAATGTTCTTAACATGCTTACAGAACCACAGTGTCTTCAAATGCGTGATGAATGTACTTCTGTACAGACAATATTTATTTTATTTTTTTTCTCCACCCAAACACTTTGCTGATGTGTCATAGATAATCATGTTCATTTTTATAGGTAGAGTTGCTCTTTCATGAATGGCTTATGGTTCAGACTGACCCAAATAGCAGTTCTGGATCTCTTTCTAAGCATTTCCTGCGTCGAGATGAACTGCAGGAATATCTGTTGGACCTGGAAAAGAAGATATTAGCTGGTTTGTCTGAAAACAAGCAGCAATGGGCAACACAAGCACACCACACCATAGAAAGAGAACTACAGGCAGGAGGATTACCTGGAGTGTCCAAGGAGGTAATTAAATATTTAATTTGTGTGTGTGGTTTTTTTCTTTTTTTCCTTCAATGTGTTTATCATCTATTTTGTCTTCTATACTATGTGAACAAGGACTCCCTCCCTTCTCATTTTCTTCCTCTTTCTGTATTTAACTATGTATAGTTGTGCTTTTACACTTTTAATTCTAGATTTCTTCATGTCCACGGTACTGATTTTCAACATATCTACAAAATCCAATCCTATAATGGTTTTTTGTCTTTACTAGGAAGTCCATGATATTGTGAATCGTGCCCTGCAAAGATACAGTGAGGATCGAATTGGCCTGGTAGATTATGCTCTGGAGTCTTCAGGTATGTTGTATACTAAAGTTTTTATTTATTTTATTTTTTTACACAACTTGTAATGAAGCAATAATAACCAAAGAAAAAAGTTACTTGTGCACTATCCCAAATACCTATGTATACTTAAATAACCGAAGTTTTTTTTAGTATCACTCCAATGACCATTTAAGTGTAAGCTCACAACGTCAAGACAAAACCTCTTGGTATTGAGTTCTACACTAACATCTCACCATATGGTGGAACTGAATCCCCATATGTGTTTGTTTGAGAGAGGTGATTTTAAGTAGCCTTGTAAAATTTAGAACTGTATATGTGTGTATGCGCTTTTCCTTAGTCTGTATTTTATATTCCTAATGAATGAACCTTTCTACATGTTATAGGAGCCAGCGTTATAAACACCAGATGTTCTGAAACCTATGAAACAAAGACTGCTCTCCTTAGTCTGTTTGGCATTCCGCTTTGGTATCAGTCTCAATCACCTCGAGTTATTCTTCAGGTATCCTAATATTTAATTAGAAAGCAAATCTTTTGATTTAGTTATATATTTTCAATAATGCTGAAATAATTATTCATAACCAATTACTGGCTGAATATATTTGCAAAAAAATTAAATGAATACTGGCTACATAAGCAAAAAAATCAATCAATCAATTATGCTGAACTAATCTATCCCAGACATGTGTTGCAATATGGGTAATCAATCATAACTACATTATTTTATCAAATGAAGAATATCACACACAGCCTCCCTCTCCCTCCCCCGCCAAAGCATTTATATAGAAGATTTATATTGCATACATAATATTGTGAGTACTTTGTATTGCAGCCAGATTCAAATCCCGGTAACTGCTGGGCCTTTCGCGGGTCCCAGGGGTATGCTGTCATCCGTCTATCCAGCCGTATCCGGCCAACTGCAGTTACACTGGATCACATCCCTCGCTCATTGTCCCCAAAAGCCACAGTTTCAAGTGCACCCAAGGATTTCTCTGTCTTCGTAAGTCTACAAGGCTGATTTTATTCTGCACTTTTTGCTCTGTTTTATTTTGTATTTTTTGCCAGGTCATAGTTAATGGAACTGTTGGTTTGTTAAAGTGTTTCTTCAACCCTTTTTTTTTTTTTTTTTGGTTGTAATGAGAATAATGCCCTATTGATATGATTCTTTAGATTCTACTCCTTCCCCAACCCCCCAAAAAAAATTGTTATAAAAAATAAAATTTCGGGGGCGGTTCCTGGCCAGCATGGCAGACAGACATGCATGAAGTGCGCTCCATGCATACAGCCTGCAAAAGACCTACTGAGGGAATATTACCTTCGGAGGTTGCCCACTGAACACTTACCTGTTCCTGAACACCAGGGAGCTCACACGATCAAGTTTGTAGTAGTTACATAGTTACATAGCTGAAAAGAGACTTGCGTCCATCAAGTTCAGCATTCCTCACATTTTTTTTTTGCTGTTGATCCAAAAGAAGGCAAAAAAAAAAAAAACAGTTTGAAGCACTTCCAATTTTGCAACACACTAGGAAAAAAATTCCCTCTTGGCCCCGGAATGGAAGTCCGATTAATACTTGAATCAAGAAGTTATTACCCTACATTGAAAACGTATAACCTTGAATATTCTGTTTTTGCAAGTATGCATCTAGTTGCTGTTTGAACATCAGTATGGACTCGGGGGAAAAAAATCACTAGGCCTATGACTACGGGCTGTCCTGCGGCCTATCTGTTCTGGGGATTTTGTGGTGGGGAGAAGCGGCCGATCGCCCAGCCTGGAGCTATCATAGTGTGAACACCTCATATCTACAGCCCTGTTTCCTCTCCCCCTCTGGACTGGTGGGAGTTATCCTGGTCCCAACCAGGGAAAAGCTAAAGTAACCCACAAGGCTAAATGGCCACTACTCACCCTGACAAGACGAGCCCTCGTGTCACACCTAAGATGGCCGCCACTCCAACGGAGCAATCAAGCCCAGAGTGGGAAGCCAAGTTCCATGCAGCCTTCTGGAGTCCGATTAAATCACTGCAGAGGGCTCTACTACTCACCTTACGTAGGACAGAGGAGCTGGTCTGGGAGATCATCTGGTGCACTCGGGTGGTTGTGGATCCCCTACTAAGCTGCATATGTGAGCAGAGCCGATCACCCTCTGAAGCCTGTCAGAGGAATTGGCTAAAACATCTCTGCTGCTGAGAATCTAAAATGCCCTTGTTATGTGGTGTAGTCAGTTGTCTAGCATTTTACAGCACTTCCTAATAGGATATTTAGTCTACTTAATTCTGGTTATGGTACTTGATTCACAATTGTTTTATAACTGGTGGTGTTAATCCCCTTACCCCTGTTCAGTTAATCACGCATGTTTATTCAAACTTATGACCACTCTCAACATGTCTGAAGTTTTCCCTATGCCATGCTTTTCACTTATATACGTACATTTTTAGCTAGCATGATTAAAAAATGTGCAGTTCCTCCTGACATTTTGTTTCCTAACTCTAAGCCTATATTCAAACGGTTTGCATTGCACCATATGTCATAGTCAGTACGTATATATTCACTGCACTTCAAAAAATAATTTTTTTATTTTTTTTTAATTCTTTAAGTTTCACTTACCTTGATTCCAGAAGTTGGCAAAGCCCCCCTTCTGAAGTCATGAATGGCGTGCCGAGGTTCAAATAAAGGCTACTCTTAGAGAAGCCTTTGATTGGACTGTTTTAACCGGCTATGGATGCATGCTCATTCCGAATTTGTTCTCCTTTTCTTAATTTCTGATTGGTTTAGCAAATTATAGATAAAGAGAGGTGATTTTGGAGCAAAACAATATGGAACGGGGGAAAGCTAGGGGTTGAGAAGTAAGGGGGTTAAAAAAAAAATAAAGTTTGTGTGACAGGGCAGCTTTCATATTATCAGGTCTTCTTCCTGTTTGCTTGAGTTTTCCCCTTAATAAGAAAGGGATACTGTTTTCCATAATTTGATAGTTTAACCCCTTAAGGGCCAAACTTCTGGAATAAAAGGGAATCCTGACATGTCACACATGTCATGTGTCCTTAAGGGGTTAAGGGATAACTATAAGCACCAACGCAACTTTAGCTTAATGAAGCAGTTTAGTTGTATAGATCATGCCACTGCAGTCTCTGCTCAATTCTCTGCTATTTAGGAGTTAAATAATTGTATTTCTGTTTATGCAGCCCTAGCCACACCTCCCCTGGCTGTGGCTCACACAGCCTGCATTAAAAAAAAATAGAAACGTTTAAAGCAAGTTAATATCTCCTGTTCTGTAAATTTAACTGTAATCACACAGGCTCATGCAAGCCCTATAAGACTATTAACAGAGCAGGAGATGAGAAAATCTAAATTAAACAGATTGTGCAAAAATGGAAGTTCTAAACATTAGATCTCTCTTTCCAGGAAGTGTTTAGGAAGGCTGTGCAAGTCACAGGAAGGGAGATGTGACTAGGGCTGCATAAGCAAAGTGATTTAACTCCTAAATTGCAGAGAATCAAACAGTGAGACATGATCTGTATACCAAATCTGATTTATTAAGCTTAAGTTGTTTTGGTGTCTGTAATGTCCCTTCTTTTTTTTTTTTCTTTTCTTTTTTTTTTTTATATTTGTAGTATGATCAGATTAAAGTGTTCGCACTTTGTTTGCCCTTTTTAAAGTAACTTTTATAAAAGGTTCTATAAATTTCCTTTTACTTCATACCGCTAGTTTACTCTAAGAATTGTGGGTGTTATGTACAGTTTATTATATACAGTATTTTTTTTTTCACAATGATTTACATTTTTTTTCCCAGGGTTTGGATGAAGAGACAGAGAAAGAGGGGCTTCTTCTGGGTAATTTCACTTACAATCAGAATGGAAACCCCATACAGACCTTTGTCATAGAGGTAACCTGTTATAAACTGGTACATACAATAAAGAGGTTTATTCAGGAAAAGCAGACTATAAAGTGTTACTCCAACCAAAAACAGTATTTTAATAAACCTGTGGCTGGAATAAGCCTTGCTAGCATGGCCCCCACCCCCATTGTATGAATAAAGGAAGTTCTCCAAGGATACCATAGAAACATAGAATGTGACAGCAGATAAGAACCAGTCTGCCCAATTTTTAAAATACTTTCATTAGTACTTGGCCTTATCTTATAGTTAGGATAGCCTTATGCCTATCCCACGCATGCTTAAACTCCTTTACTGTGTTAACCTCTACCACTTCAGCTGGAAGGCTATTCCATGCATCCACTACCCTCTCAGTAAAATAATACTTCCTGATATTATTATTTTTTTTTGCCCCTCTAATTTAAGACTGTCCCCTTGTTGTGGTAGTTTTTCTTCTTTTAAATATAGTCTCCTCTTTTACTGTGTTGATTCCCTTTATGTATTTAAATGTTTCTATCCTCATCCCTTGTCTCGTCTTTTTCCTCCGAGTTATACATGTTAAGATCCTTTTAACCTTTCATTGTAAGTTTTATCCTGCAATCCATGAACCAGTTTAGTATCCCTTCTCTGAACTCTCTCTAAGGTATCAATATCCTTCTGGAGATACGGTCTCCAGTACTGTGTACAATACTCCAAGTGAGGTCTCACCAGTATTCTGTACAATGGCCTCTGTTGCCTGTCACTCAGCCACTGCCTTACCCATTCAACAATATTTGAATCCAAACTTAAAGATTGCAGTTTACTGATAAGCCTTCTATGTGCAACAGTGTCAAAAGCCTTACTGAAATCTAGGTAAGCAATGTCTACTGCACCACCCTGGTCTATAATTTTAGTTACCCAATCAAAAAAATCAATAAGATTAGTTTGGCATGATCTCCCAGAAGTTTTTTACCACTCCCCCTTTGTCGTTTAGGGAAGATGTGTGCAGCATGAAAGGAGTGGGTTTACACACACACACACACACCTCCATCGGTTATCTCTACTAGCACGCGAGATGCCTTTTATGCACAAACTTTATATTGGTTAATGACGTTGCTAGAGGTGGAGTTACTCATCAGCAGCAAATTGCTGTCTCTCTGTATGTAAATAAACAATAGTGACTGGACATCTATGACTTTCCAGTCATTAAAGCACCAACTCCAAAATGGTAGGATAGGACCTGTGACTAAATAGACGGGTTCCTGCCACTACCAATGATCGACTAATAGATCTGTTGTACCCACCCTGCCCATGAGCTTAAGATGCGGGTACTGCAATAATAGGTGGGTGGCCATACAGAGTGGGGGTAGACATTATGGTTTGATAAACATGCGATAGTCTCTGCCTGACTGATGGCTAGTGGTGGGGCCTATATTGAAGCTAAAGGTAGGAAAATGCTAGCTTTAGTGGTTAGAGAATAACCACTGTGTGTATTATCTTATTTTATATATTTTGCTTATCTCGTATGATGTTTCTTGTCCTGCATCTTGACTCAAAGTATCTTTTTAATTAGGGGAAAAAACAAAAACCTGATGTGATCCAAAGAATTCTTTCGCTACAATAAGCTGAATTATTGTAGTTCTTTGATTTTGTAATTTTAGTTAAATAGAACAATTATTTTTGGCCTCACAAATTGTTTATTTGTTTTTGTTTTCTAAGGGAGACAAGACATCTACCTACCAACTAATAGAGCTAAGAATCCAGAGCAACTGGGGACATCCAGAATACACCTGTATCTACCGTTTCCGTGTGCATGGAGAGACAGAAATGTAGGAATGTGCAAAGGAATCATTTTTGCTTAACTGCCTCATTCATAGAGGCCTTCTGAAGAAGTATGAATGCACATTAGATGGGATGTGCTTCATGTGCAGGCACTTTGTTTATTACCTTTGGCTCTCGTGACTGGTTGCAGTATTAATTGAAAGAAAGAAAAAAAAAAAAAAACACACACACACACACCGCATCGCTACACATTGTAAATAAAATTACTTTGATCAAAGGCTGGTCCAAAGAAGACTTAATATATTACAATTTGTTTCCACTTCAAGTAAAACCCCCTCCTGTATTATACAGAATCTGGGAGCTTTACAAAACCTACCTTTAAAATCCTTCAAGGAAAAACTGCAACAACCTTCACAAGAATCAGGCAGAGAATGTAGAACATTACATGCACTTATTTGTACTTATTTTGTATAAATATGGACTACAGTTTTAGGAGAATCTGTATTAGCCCAGTGATGTAGATGCAAAATAAGATACTGCAGTACATTATTTTTTTTTCTTGAACCGCACTAGCAGTATTTTTGAAAAACATTGTTTGGAAAGATCTACCCTTATAATCAAAGGATAAAGTATTTTAGATTTAATAAATGGAGGATCTCCCAAAAGATTAGCTGTCCAAAATTGGTTACCCAACTAAAAATGTATTAGGAGATGCTCTGATAATCTGCATGTTGCATCTGTATAATTATGTATAATGTATGGATCCAGTTGACATTAATCTGACACAGTAGTGGCTCATCATAAGTTCATTGCATAAAAGAGTGAATAAAGAAGAGAGTTCATGTACGTAATTATGTACGTACGTTGTGGAATGTATACATCAACTTTTTATTGGTCCAAGAGGTTGTCCTGCATTTTACAGCACACAAGAAGATGTCCTTACTACTTTTAGCATCTGAGTATTTTGTAGTCTCTGACCATGATTGAATGTAAACTGTTGTCTAGTTAGTGGGTTGATGTTTTTGCCTCTTCAAAGACGGCTTTAGTTTTAAAACATGGTGTTCTATTTATATTTATTTTTTTGTCTCCAATACCAATTTCCAGCTCTGACTGCCCTTTCTAATATGCAGGTCTTCTTTGAACTGTAAAATGCATAATAACACTCTGACACATGAACACACATTGAACAATTTTAAATGTGAGCTGTATATTAAATGTTATTTCAATGGCTGAAGTACTACCCCCATGAACGTTGATTTGTACATTGAATAACATGTAACTTAAACATGGTGCTAGACAAACGACAGGTAAAATGTATACTTTGCTAAATATTTCTTTAACTATGATGGCTAGTACATGTATGATGAATATCATCATGAAGAGCAGTTCAGAATTGCAGACTGTTTTTAAAGGGACACTATAGTCACCAGTGCAACTACATGTATTCCTGACCCTATAGTGTTAACACCACCATCTAGCACCCCGTGTATAGTAAAACTCTTACTGTATTCAAGCCAGAAGCTGTAACTCTGCATGCTGTTTGCACAATGCTTCCCCATAGGATTGGCTGAGACTGACAAGGAGGCAGATCAGGGGCAGAGCCAGCATGATTCAAACACCGCCCTGGCCAAGCAGCATCTCCTCATAGAGATGAATTGAATCACTGAATCTCTATGAGGAAAGTTCAGTGTCTGCATGCAGAGGGAGTGTCTGCATGCTGCCCTGTGCTCTGCTGACAGCAGATCTGAGTGGATTGAGGAGTTTTATGCCTCAATCAACTCGAAAGTCCCTCTGGTGGCATTCTGAGTGACTGCAACTGGAGGTGTTCCTAGCTTTCAATGTAAACACTGTATTTTCTCAGAAAATAGTGTTTATATGAGAGAGGCTGCAGGGAGCTATAGTTCTCACCTGAACAATCTCATTAAGCTGAAGTTGTTCAGGTGACTATAGTGTCCCTTTAAAGGACCACTCTAGGCACCCAGACCACTTCAGTTTAATGAAGTGGTCTGGGTGCCAGGTCCAGCTAGGGTTAACCCATTTTTTTCATAAACATAGCAGTTTCTCTGAAACTGCTATGTTTATGAATGGGTTAAGCCTTCCCCCAAAAGCCTCTAGTGGCTGTCTCATTGACAGCCACTAGAGGCGCTTGCGTGCTTCTCACTGTGATTTTCACAGTGAGAGCACGCCAGCGTCCATAGGAAAGCATTATGAATGCTTTCCTATGTGACCGGATGAATGCGTGCGCATTCAGCCAACGGGGAGGAGAAGAGGAGGATCGGAGGAGGAGAGCTCCCCGCCCAGCGCTGGAAAAAAGGTAAGTTTTACCCCCTTTCCCCTTTCCAGAGCCGGGCGGGAGGGGGACCCTGATGGTGGGGGCACCCTCAGGGCACTATAGTGCCAGGAAAACAAGTATGTTTTCCTGGCACTATAGTGGTCCTTTAAGGCTTTGTATGCGAAATACTGAATCATGTATTAGTAAACATAAAACCTGTCCAGCCTTTTGCTTGCTTGATGTATGATTCTAAAAATGGCACCATGATTTAAATTTCTTTAAAAAAAAAAAAAAAAATTCTCTCTCGTTTTGGTGGCTCTGAAAAGGTTTCCTCATTTGAACAAAAGATAATTTGTTTGCTACTTTATCACTTTTATTACCAGTTCTCAAATGAGGAAATATATAAAATTTGCATTGTTGGAGTTACATGACCAACTAATCCTAAACTCAACTGGATACAATTACACATACACATCAATAAGTGTATATAGAATTTATTTCACAATGTTTTTAACATCAATGGAGTTTAGCATTTTTAATAAGGATATTCTGAAAACCATTTGTATATATATCCAGTTTTCCACACATGCATATTGGCAGTGAGGTGGTTTTTTGGGGGTTTTTTTAGGGAGCAGTAGAGATTTGGTATATTCATGTAAAGAATGTGTAATATGCTTAGTAATTTTATGTTTCTGAACTTATGGTTTTCCACTGGTGTCTTCGTCATAATAATTTACTCTGCTGGCAGATCTCGATTCAGAATACTCTTTTTTTATGTATGAACAGCTTTTGTAATGTTGATGTACTCCTGGTTCTTTACTAGTGTGAACTGTCAGAAATACAAGGTGAATATCAAAATTTTAGGCCAAAATAGTAACATTGGAGAGAAGAAAAAAAAATCTTTAAATCTGTTTTGGATTTGGCTATTTCGGACTAAAATTTTTAATTAATTTTGAATTCTCAATAATTCACATGTTAGTGAATAACCGTGCAGGAGGTTAGACCTGTGCTAGAATAAGATTTTATAGTGATAAGTATAGGTAGATATATTTGTTTCCACCACCTATTAGAACATTTTGTACATTGAACCTTATTGTTCTTGGCAACTAGTTTGTTTGTTTTGTGTGTTTTTTTTTTTTTTTAAGAACTTTAGAGTCGTCGTAGCGCTGCTAGCTAATTATTTAACATATATACTTTTTTACAACAAAGTCATATATTGCATTGAACACTTAAAGTGTAGGTATGCCTTTATGAGCAGCGGTACATGTATAATATATATTAATAACGGTTTACAGGCGGAATGAAGAAAAAAATAGCTATTTTAATTCCATCATGCTGAAAGCATGTAAACAAAGTGGAAACATAACCTTTCCAGAAATTGTATGTATATAGACATCGTGTCCACAGCCTACTTTGATGCTGGAACAATAATTAGAGTTTCCAAACTAAAACACATTCAGCAGTTTTGTTACTGGTTATAGCTGTGCATTGTCACCAGAAAGCTACCAGATTCACAGGGGTGCTACAGATGACCACAAAACATTGCAATACAGATGGCAAATGGCATAGTATCTGGACATCTGTTAACTTTCTGTATAAATAAGCATCCTGACATTGACATGGCTTTTTTTTTTTTTTAAATAAAAATATTATATTAAGTAAATGTTAAATACAAAAATAATTCTCTTAAGGCATTATATATGTAATACTGTATATAGTATGAATTTTAGAATTGCACCATTTTAGACAAAAGTAATTGAGCTAGAAAAGTAGCGTTTGGAACCTCCCCGGTTTGCACTAACGTATGCTGTTCTCTTGTCAAAACTCCACACACTCTGGGTTAGTGAATAAACCGCTTACTGTCCCTTAAAGATAAATGGGGGTATTTTAGTATCTCTGAATATTTTATCTTTCTTTCATAGGTGTTTCATCGACACCTCTATTGGAATTCAGAGAATGGAGCCAGGTGTAGTTTTAGACTAGTACAGAGTAATGTCCTTTAACGGTCAGTGCTTCCAAACTCACACTTTGCATGGTGGAATTGATTAGAAGTTTAAACTGCAGCATACATGATCCATAATTGGAAATCCTGTAAAAGGAAGTCCTACTATTATGAAAGAACCAACAATGAGTGTTCCAAACCCAACTTGCAATTTATACATAATTCAGTATTGAATACTTTGAAAGGTTAAGATATTATTGTATATAATTGTTTTTAATTTGCACTTCACTGCCTGACTTTATGCACTGATGTCCAACGAGATCCGAATTAATTGACCTCTTAAAGGCAGTATTAATCTTTTTGCCCGATCTGGTCTGCTGGTGTGCCACTTGTATTAATGAATAACTTATTAAATTATATTTAGCAATGCTAAAGAAAGGGAAACATAGCAATGTATTGCTTATAGAAAGGTACTGATTTGACTTTGCTGTTGATAAAATTATATTAATGTGTGTCTATATGTGTATCATGCAATATATATGTATTCTCTTTATGTTCCCTTGGGAATTTGAGGCAATCCAAATCCCAAAAAGGGCATGGGGCATACCCACAGGGAACAAAAAGCCCATACCTGAGATTTAATTTCAGAAATAAATGTATTTATAGGGTCTTGGGTTAAAATGCCAGGTTATTCAAATAACTACTGAGAAACTGTTCTTATAACAAAAGGCAAACCATAAACATACCACACTATGTATGAATTCTCTAACATTTTAATGAGCCTTTTAGAATCGCAGACTAGCAATTTGACAGCTTCAAGAAGAAATTTATTTAGAATTGTGGCAACATGAATACATATCAAACTGGTTTATAATTATTTGTTTTGCTCCATTGTGTTGAAACAGATGTGCACATTTTGCTATAGGTTACACTATGCATTTAAAGAAACAATTTAGTGTTAGGAATGCATCTTTGTATTCCTAACCCTAAAGTTTTCTTCTGCATTCGGGCTTCCCATAGAAAAGCATAGCGTCGATGCTACTTGAGCAAGAGACTAACAGTAAATCATTAGACTTGTTAACAAAACCAGGGATGTGGCTGACTTCTGACAACTGCATATGTTCTGACATTTAACATCTCCTCTGTAAAAATACAGGATTACATTTTGCACTAGACCAGAGTGTGCACATTTTGTAGTAAAACAAGCCTCCTTTAATGTCGTAATGTTTGCAGATACAGCCAATATAAGTGTATTTCTCACATTATATTCTGTTACATATCCTTGCTAAAACTGTATGCTTGCATCTAATAAAAATCAAAGGCTTGCAGTGGCTTGTCAGCATTGTTTGTAATTACGAAATGTACAAATTTTGTTTGAATTGATTGACCATGTGGCATTCATTCAATTCGCTTAAAAAAAAAAAAAAATTTTTTAAAAAGTATTATGTTATTGTCTTTGTTAATGGGTTGCCCTGATATTTGACTTTGTGCTGTGAGTGAAGGGGAGGAGGTAACAAGTCAAAGCAATTATAAGGGCACATCTCTTAGTTTGCCAAACCAAAAACAAGGTATCTGAAAGGTCGTGAAGTTTACATGGAGCTATGTAGACATTACCATATTTAAAAAATGTGTTTAAATTAGTGGTTATGGTTTTCTTATATTTACTTAAGAAAAGTTCATTTGTGCATCTTGAAACCAGGCCATGGTCCAGAGTTGTTACAGATACAGTTTATGTGGCTGTAATCTGGGGTTGCTGGGTGGAATGTCCCATAGATTAGACTTCTCTCCATGTGTCCCGTTCAGACACAAGTTATCTGACAAACCATGACTTCATATAAAATGCTGGCTGTTGTTATAGGGAGTTGTGGTCTTAGAAGTTTGTGCTCTTGAGTGGATTATTACATTGAATTTAGGTATCAAGTTGCATGGGACCTAAGCATGCTAGATTCTTTAGATATTATTTTAGGGTATATCTTGGGTCAGTGCATTGATACTCCATACTCCTCCTGCTAAGTAATTTCAGATCGTTACATGGGATGTACCAGGGCACTGGAATTGTGTATTCTCCTTAATTTTAATATTTACGTATTTTTTTTCTTTCAGAAGTTTGTACATTTCTCATAATACTAATTCTAAATAAAGTGTTTGTATTGTAATGGCATTTGTCATCTTGATTTATAAATATATATTCTTTCTTTTTGCTTTATTGCATTAACTTGGCTCACACCAAATTAAAAGGCTAATCCAGATGTGGACCACGTCCTCACTGTGTCTAGAGAGGTATGCGCTACACCACACTGATGAGGCCCAAAAGTAGTCTGAAACAATCATCTGGGGTTGCTGTATCTCTCGCGCAGAGAGAATTTGCTTGCATTACGGATCTGGACTTCCTGTACAGGTGGGACCAGTCTGATATGCTTCAGATATGTTCTCTCTGTAATGGCACACGTGAGCAAAAACAAATTGGAGACCTGAGCAGGGAATTACCAAAGGGCAAGCTATTGAGTCTTTAAGCTTTTGTCAGTTCTCACATTCTTTCTTTTAATTTATAAATATACCCCAATTAAAAATAAAAATCTATGGTTGGTGCATTGCTAATCGACCTTGTAGATAAACAAAGTGTACCTGCAAAAGTAGATTATAAATTTCCTAGCCTTTCAGATGGCACAATATAAAGGAAGTTTAGATTAGGAGAAAAGCCAATTTAAAATATATTCTTTGCCCCACCTGTCAAGTCTGACTGACAAGGAAAATTAGATTTTCCACAGGTGGTTGTCCTGCTCTCCAAGCATAGCAACCACTGGATATGTGCTGTGATAGCTTTTGGTTACACACTACTGATGTCTCTCCATTCAGACACCAGCATACTGGCAACAAAAGCAGCCCTTATGGAGGAAGACTGTCACTGCTTAGGGATACATGTCCATGCAGGCCAATCTGTGGACCGGTTGGAACTTTAGTAATGAAATTAACTAGTGCAAAAAGCGCAGGCATACACTGCTTCCCAAAGATGTTAAGAGACCTGATGGTGGCCTTGATGAAGACCAGACTGCTGGTAATCTGTCAAACAAAGGAATGCGTGGGTGTCTGACAAACCACTCTTTCAGGACTGTTTTTGCCAGGGTGAGCCATCGGTGCATGAGTATTTAGATCAGGAGATCTTAACCTTTTTAGTCTCACACCTCCCCCGAAAGTAAACATAAAATTCAAACTATTCAATTTAAAAATGCAATCTAACAATAATGGTAGCGGAGTTATCGTGTGACTGCTCTTCTACTGTTCTTGCAAGTGTTGAGTAATTTCTGGCACAAGAGTTTGGTACAAGAGTAAACTAGACAGTCTTCATTTTACTAAATACAACCCGCACACAATAGTATCAGTCTTCACTTTACCAAACATTTTGATTACAGGTACTCCTCACTTTGCGATTTGCCTGCATAACGATGGCTTGGACATCCGACCAGCTCTCTACTGCCGGGATTTGAGGGATTTCTCACGTTGGTAAGCTGGCCTAGATTTGAGCAATTCCCTGCTCTGGTGCACTTGTCTGTTTGGGAAAATGTTTCCCAAAATATAGATTCGATGGATTCCCTACGCTAGTGAGCTGGTCTGTGTTTGGGGGAATTGCCCTGAACATTCACCTGCTCTCTAGCCCATTTAAGACTTGTTTTTTTCTGAGGATAGCCTGTTTCTCCTATATTGGAAGATATTTCACATTTTTGGTAGACTTGTTTACCAACCGCCATGAATTTCAAATTTTAGGCCAAAACAGCTGAACGTCAAAATAATTTCTAATTGAACTGTATTTCCAGTTCGGACACTTTGGCTTGAAAGTTGACACACTTTGATTTCACACTTTAGTGAATAACCCTGTTAAGTGCGGCTTACAGTCTAGACTTCAAATCAATTTTGACCTGCCACGAGCCTCAAACTTTTGCTTAATGAAGTGCTTTATGCACTGTGTGGGTAGGGCTACATAAACAAAGCCACCTCAATGGTGGTTTAAACACTATACATACATGATAGGAAGAGCTGAGACAGGATCTGCAACAGAGCACACCTGATATCAGTCCTATTATCCTGGCAGCGATGACTGAATTGAAATAATTGGCATAGAGTGCCTTACTCATATAAAGCACAAAAGTACTCTAAGATAAAAAATAGGATAAAAAGAAAAAACTTTATTGCCCTAACCGTGTACACACATCTGAATATAACAAGACACAAAAAGTAAAAAAAAGAAAATAAAGTATTAAAATAGGACCAACTACTGAAGCTAATAAGTATAAGTTGTACTTGTTACAAAATAGCAAACAAACGATACTGATCTAGATTAAACAAAGAAATAATATCATTGGAGTGATATACAGTGTATTTAATGAGTCGATATAATTAGGTAACCCTATCAATTGCGGAGTAGCATAGGAAAATGGGTCTATCCTAAAATATAAATCAAAAGAAAAATATGTCGAGCCTGTGATGGACCCGTTGGCACTCCGACAGAGTACCTCAGCCAATCGATGCTCCTAGTGCTTGCCGAGGACTCCAACCGACACCATCAGCACTGCAGACTTATCCCATCCCCCAAGCATGAGCCAAGGCTTCAAGAAAGGGTCAAGCAGGTCTGTTTAATGAGCACACAAAAGCAACAGCACTCATGCAGCAAAACAACTCCTCCTCAGAGGAAAACAAAATGACAGTTAAAGACAGACAGTGTTTGAAAATATGACAGTTATTAAGGGTTTAAACTGGTGTTCTAAGAGGGAGGGGAATAAAACAGTCAAACTAAGTCCATAAAACAGGGGTTTTCTTCACACTCTGCATCCGAAGTGCATAGCAAAACTGCAGATCCTTTGTCAGAGCATTTAAAGGGCCAGAACCAGTCTAATAAAATCCACTATGCCCAAATAACGTATTTAAAGGGCAAAATCTCCCAGGGACCATAGTCATACAGCAAGAGGCTGGTAATTAGTCCTCTCCAGGCACAAGTGGCGAAGGGCACTTTGTCACACATCTTCCCATTGGGGGGAGACTAACCAGGTACCTGACCTTCTGTCAGTTAGTACCTGAGTTAGTCGAGTAGCCCACCCACAACAAACAGTTAACAGACTAGCCCACCCACAATACACCATTACTGCACCTGGTGATTCCTGGTGTCTGGCTCTGGCCTGTATGTCCCAGGTTGCTGAGGGGAACTAGTGGGCAGAGGCCAGAGGCTTCTGCTGGGTTGGCCGGTGGGTATTCAGGCCCTGACCAAGAGGGCAAGGGAGGGCAGAGGCTGACCACGCTCTGCCCGGATGCCAGCTCTTCTGCTGGAAGGGGGTCAATGGAGGCTAACATCTTCTCCACTAAACCCAGTACCAGGTTAGGGGATGGCTGTGGAGGGGAAGGGTCGCCTACCTCCTCCTCCTAGTACTCTTGCTGTACTCTTGGGGAGCAAGACCGGTTGCCTCCTCTCCCTGGGGCTCCAACTGCAGTTGGGGATCTGGGCCGGCTGCCCAGCATCCTTGTAGGGCCGGTGGAGAGACCTCGGTCCCATCTCCACCTGTGGGTCTTCCCAGGACCAGTCTATGAGGTCCCTCAACATTTGAGAATAAAGACCACCTGCCTCCGCACCTGGTAACTCCGGCCGCTGCTGGGGATCTGGGCCGGCTGCCCAGCATCCCGGTGGAGAGACCTCGGTCCCATCTCCACCTGCCTGTTGGGGTTCCTCGCAGGACCAGTCTATGAGGACCCCTACTTCGGGTATCTCTTGTGGCTGCTGGGGAAGGAGACCGGTTGTCTCTTCCCTCTGCATGGTGCACTGCCGCTGGGGAGGGAGGTTGCTGCTCTCCGTGTGACTCGGTCTGCTGCTGGGGAGAGAGACCGGTTGTCCCGAGCCCCAGTCTCTACAATCTGAACCCCTATTCCCGTGCTGCTTAGGTCTCCTCATTGAACTCTTCCATGATATGGACGATCACCTCTTCCGAAGGGTCTGGGCCATACTCGACTAGCCGCCTCTTTACCTCCGTGATATGGCAGATGAAATTTAATGTTGAAAAATGCTAAGTTATGCACTTCGGCGTAAAGAATACACAAGCAACGTATACCCTAAATGGATGCGAATTAGGGATAACAACACACGAAAAGGACTTGGGAATTGTTATAGACCACAAACTACGCAACAATGTGCAATGTCAATCAGCAGTGGCCAAGGCCAGTAAGTATTGTCATGCATGAAAAAGGGCATTCATTATCGGGACAAGAATATCATTTTGCCTCTTTATAAATCACTGGTAAGACCACATATTGAATATGCTGTGCAATTTTGGGCACCTGTTCTAAAGAAGGATATTATGGCACTGGAAAGAGTGCAGAGGCGGGCTACAAAATTAATAAAAGGAATGGAACATATCAGCTATGAAGAAAGGTTAACAAATTTAAACCTATTTAGTTTAGAAAAACGTCGCCTGAGAGGGGATATGATAACAATATACAAATATATTCGGGGCCAATACAAACCATTGTGTGGAAATCTATTCACGAACCAGACTTTACATAGGACACGAGGTCATGCGTTTAGACTGGAAGAAAGAAGATTTCGTCTAAGGCAAAGGAAAGGTTTTTTTTTACTGTAAGAACAATAAGGATGTGGAATTCTCTGCCTGAAGAAGTGATTTTATCAGAGTCCATACAGATGTTCAAACAGCTACTAGATGCATACTTGCAAAAACAGAATATTCAAGGATATAATCTTTCAATGCAGGGCAATAACTGCTTGATCCAAGGATACATTTGACTGCCATTCTGGGGTCAAGAAGGATTTTTTTTCCTAGCTTGTTGCAAAATTGTGCTTCAAACTGGGGGTTTTTGCCTTCTTTTGGATCAACAACAAAAAACTAATGTGAGGTAGGCTGAACTTGATGGACGCAAGTCTCTTTTCAGCTATGTAACTATGTAAGCGTCGCCCTCATAGCAATAGGTCATGTTTGCTTGGCCCCACTCTGGGCCACTAGCACTCCGATCCATGCCTTGGATTCCGCTGTAGACAGGGGTGCTGCACGAGTGCTAGCGTCGCACTCACTTGTAGCTCCGTAACGCTACCGGTGTCTCTGGGCTGCTTCTCCTCACACTAGGATGCCATCCCACCGCTTGCCACCAAATGTGACGGACCCGCTGGCACTCCGACCGAGTACCTCCGCCAATCGATGCTCCTAGTAGTGCTTGCCGAGGACTCCAAGCACTCCAGTCGACACCATCAGCACTGCAGACTTATCTCATCCCCTAAGCATCAGCCAAGGCTTCAAGAAAGGGTCAAGCAGGTCTGTTTAACCCCTTAAGGACCAAACTTCTGGAATAAAAGGGAATCATGACATGTCACACGTCATGTGTCCTTAAGGGGTTAATGAGCACACAAAAGCAACAGCACTCATGCAGCAAAACTCCTCCTCCTCAGAGGAAAACAAAATGACAGTTAAAGACAGACAGCGTTTGAAAATGACAGTTATTAAGGGTTTAAACTGGTGTTCTAAGGGTGGGGAGAACAAAACAGTCTAACTAAGTCCATAAAACAGGGGTTTTCTTCACACTCTGCATCCGAAGTGCATAGCAAAACTGCAGATCCTTTGTCAGAGCATTTAAAGGGCCAGAACCAGTCTAATAAAATCCACTATGCCCAAATAACGTATTTAAAGGGCAAAATCTTCCAGGGGCCATAGTCATACGGCAAGAGGCTGGTAATTAGTCCTCTCCAGGCACAAGTGGCGAAGGGCACTTTGTCACAGAGCCTATTTGTAAGACACCTTTAAGTAGAATGCAGAAAAAATAGCGGAAAACCGCTAAACGCTGAATTTCAATAAACAAAAAAACTAAAAGTAAAAATGCATTTCTACCTACATGATGTTTCATTTCTTAGTGAGAAGGGAGTTTAAAATGTAACTTTTATTCAATTCTTTTAAAAGAGAACAAGTGAGTAATTGGGTAAGGATATACGTAAAAATAATAAAATTAAAAGCAAAATAGGAGGGCAGTCCTTGCTGGTTAGAAAATTATAGTTATAATATTATATTATAATTCACGTTCACAGTGACTGGTTAGATGATTATAGTTATACATACAGATATAGGACTAAGATTTTGCCTTTAGATACTCATTCTCTGATATTATTAGAGGAGTACTTTGTTAACGGCTGTGTTCTATTATTATTATTATTTATTCACAATCAGGTGTTACCAGAGGAAACTGGAATAGGGGATTTAACTTCAATTCTAATTTCATCCACTGTCATTTTTTCCTGACCATTGTTTAATCACGTCTGAGGTATGCTTTGGACTTCCCCAAGTATTCTCTGATGATTTATACACCTATATTTCTACCCGTATTTAGAGCTATACAGGCAATATTTTTTTTGAGCTTGATCATATGTTTTAGGATATACCCATATTCCTATGCCACTCAGCAATTATTGATAGGGTTACCTAATTATATCGACTCATTAAATACATTGTATATCACTCCAATGATACTATTTCTTTGTTTAATCTAGGTCAGGATCGTTTGTTTAAAATTTTGTAACAAGAACAACTTATACTTATTAGCTTCAGTAGTTGGTCCTATTTTAATACTTTATTTTCTTTTTTTTACTTTTTGTGTCTTGTTATATTCAGATGTGTGTACACGGTTAGGGCAATAAAGTTTTTTCTTTTTATCCTATTTTTTATCTTAGAGTACTTTTGTGCTTTATATGAGTAAGGCACTCTATGCCAATTATTTCAATTCAATCATCGCTACCAGGGTAATAGGACTGATATCAGGTGTGCTCTGTTGCAGATCACCTCCTCCTTTGGATTCCAGAAAAACGCATGTTAAAAAAGTTATGAATTACATGATTTTGCTATTGCATGACGAAAAGTCATGATTGTTAGCAAAGTAAAAAAGGAGAAAAGTGAATTAAGTTAAGAGATTGTAAAACAGTGAAAATTGCTACAGTGTAATAAAAGGTACTTATCTGACGTGGAGCAGCAAAGAAAGAGGGAATTTGGAGGGCAGACCAGGCTATTATACTGGACACTGGGGGTGTGGCCTATGTATGAGGCATGCACTACCTTTTGATTTTTTCATTCTGTTAATGTTCTTTGCTGCTG